CGTCGTCTGCTGCTGCTCCGCTTCTTTGCGGACCTTGGCTGCCTCGTTCTGCGCCTCCGTGAGCCGCCGGGAAGAGGCGCGGTGCGCAATCTGGAGATCCGCCTTCTCGTCCTCCGCCTGATCCAACGTTTTCCGCTGCTCGGAAAGCTCCGCCTCGGCCTTCTCAACCTTCGCGGCTGCGGGCTCGATACCGGAGATGGCGCTGATCTTCTCCTTCAGGACATCCTTTCTGTCGTAGTCCTCTTCCTTGACCGCTTTGGCCATCTCCTCTTTCAGCCGAGGAAGGTCCGTGGCACACCCGTGCTTCTTGCAGGCCTCCAGCTCCTCCTTTGCCTGTTGCACAGCGGCCGCGAGGCGCTCGTGCTCCAGCTTCTCGGTCTTCAATTTCTGCATGCACGCCTCAAGGTCCGCCGCCGCGTCGTCCAGCGCCGTCTCAGCGTCCCTCGCCTCTCGCTCCACCTTGTCCCTCTGCTGCTTGATACGGATAAAGGCGGCCTGCACCGTCGTGTTGAGGGCCTTGATCTTAGGCAGCTGGCCATCCTTGTCCTTTTGGTTGGTGACACTAATGTCGGGCTTCGAGAGGATGGCATGTGCGTCGTCTGGCGTCTTATTCGCCCAGTCGTTTTTGAGCGTCTGCGCGTGCTGATCCGCCTGCTCGACGGCGTTCTGAATGCACTTGATGTGGAAGCGCTCACCCTGCGTTCCAACACTCGACCTGAGTCCTCCTGGCAACGCCTGCTGCATGGAGAGCCACGCCTCGAACTGCGTCCAGAAGCGCGAGGTGTACGAGCGGTCGAGGAGGATGAGGACAGTCGTGCCGAGGTACAGCATGTTGACCTGCGGCGAGGGTGGCCGTGATCCGAGTCAGTCCCATGGAACCGCGGTGCCATTGCGCGCGCGCACAGCGCACACCTCCGCGAGCATCTTCTTGAACGCCGTCTTATCAGCGTCTTTGATGGTGCCCTTGGGCTGGTCTTGCGGCATACTCACCGAGTCCATCCACACGTACTTTATCTCCTTTCCCTTTGGATCCTCGCGCAGGAACTCCTGGATGGCCTTGAGCTGCTCACCATCTGGATCAGGCTCGTCCCCCTGCATCCAACGATGCGAGACGGACAACAGGTCGTCGCGGAACTTGCCCTGCACGACGTCGGTATACGTCATCGTCTGCTCGACTATCTGGTCCTTGTGCCTCGCCCGAAGCTCTTGGAAGAATGGCAGGTTCTTCCCGCCGTAGTCGCGGAGAAACTGGGCGTTGATGAAGTTGAAGGTGCACTCATCCTCAGCAGCCGGCGCATCTCCAGGCAGTGAAGGAGCGACCTTTGCAGACGGCATGGCCCAACACACCGTGAGGGAACGCGTAACGGCGCCGGCGAAACCGTATTTTAATCCCTCGAGACCTCGAGAATAGTTCTCACTGACGGCTAGAGAGGCCTTCGTTGCGTAAAATACTTTGCAGCCTTCTCTAATTGCGCTCTAAAGCGCACGCGGTCGCGCCGGAGACTTGGAGCACTTGGAGTGCAGTCATTTAACCGCACGCCCAGGGCCGGGGGGAGCTAAGAAGCGCACCCAGCGGGCCAGACGATTGGCATCGGGTTACGGGCTAGAGAGCCCTAGCCCTAGGGGGGGGGTGCGCAGTCGCAGGGCCATCCATAACACGGTCTCCGAGGGATAGATAGTAAGTATACCGCGCTCTGAGTTTCCCCTAGCAGCAGAACGCACCTACTCGGAGCTAGTGGACACGACACTAGCTAGTATGATGTATATGATGAGAATACTCTCCGAGGGTTGGCTCCGACAATGAGTTTCCGACAATATAACGCGTGGTCACCATTTTCTCATTATCATAAATATTCAGCGCTACATAGCGCTACATCCTATACTCATTCAACGCTACATCCTATTCTTCTCTTCACGCACGTGGCGGAGGAGGGAACCCAAATTGTAGTAATGCGTGAGCTCCTCACCCGCCTCGATGTCGCGCAGCGGGAGAAGGAACATTTGCGGACCGTCAAGCACGGTCGCCATATTCGCCAAGCCGAAGGGCGGCGCTGTGGCGAAAACCTACCAGGAGCCCCTTCGCGACGCAGGGAATGAGCCAGAGCAGCAAATCGGGACAATGTCGACAGGGAGAGAGAGTGCATTTCAATTCTTTTTACGGGGCCCTGAGCCGACCTAGCCCCAGACGGAACGGGGCGCCCAACACGTGCCCGGGGATTACTGTGCCTTCCCCGGGTGCAGCCTTTCGGTTCGTGAAGGGTCGGTGCGAGTCGTGCTTTCCTCGATCCCCCGCCCTCCCCCGCCATCTCCGCCGCTTTGGCTCTACAGCCACCACCGGGAGGCGGCGAGGCGAAATCAGACTCGGTCGAGAGACCCCAGATTGGCATCCATGCCTCTCTGGACAGGGTGGCCCGCCACAACGACCCCTGGAATTGCGACTCGCCGCTTTCCTCCCGCTGTGATTCTGTGTGAGCTCTGAGTCTTGTCTGCCAACAATACACCTAAGTTTACTTCAACGCACACCCTGAAAAAAGAAAATCGGCGCGGAGGTAGTGCCACACACAGCCCAGCACGCACAAGACAAACCGGGCGTTCGCTGGCTTCAAGCCCGTTGAGCCCGTTTACCCAAGCTTCCACCCCGCGCCCGCTGTGCAATCGCCCAAGCTGTACCATGGAGGCTTCGATTGAGGCAATTAATGACCGTGTGCTTCTCGAGGGCGACCCGCTGGAGGCCGTCATCGCTCTTCTGCCGATCGGCACGGTGCTGGCGGTCCGCCGCGTCGCACGAGCCTGGCGCCTCGCCGCGCGGAACGTGCTGTCGTCGAGCGCGTGGCAAGCCGCCGTGCCGTGCGACGTGTTGCTCGAGCACCGCGCACCTGCGCGCGCGATTGCGACTCGCCTGCGCGCTGCTCCGTCAGAGGCGGCCGAGCCCGATGCGGCGGGCCGGCTGTTGCTGCACGTCGCGCTGCAGCGGCGGGCGTCGGAGGCGACGGTGCGGGCCATCGTCCAGGCGAACGCCGCCGCGCCGCGCACCTGGGGTCCCGGCCGCCTTCTGCCGTTGCATGTCGCTGCAGTGGCCGGCGCGAGCGCCGGGGTGTGTAGCGCTCTGCTCGAGGCGCACCCGGCGGCGGCGAGGTCTGCCGGGAAAGGGGCGAGGCTACCGCTGCACTGTGCGGCGGCGAACCACGCGGCGCCGCTCGACCTGCTGCAGCGGCTGCTAGAGGCGGACACTACCTCCGCCGCCGCGAGGACGCACGACGGCAGCACGCCGCTGCACCTCGCCGCCGCGTCTGCGCGCGCGAGCGTGCACGCGGTGAAGCTGTTGCTGCAGTCCGCGCCTCAGAGCGCCGCCGCGCCGCGGAAGGACGGGAAGCTGCCCCTCCACCTCGCCGCACTCCACGCCTCGCCCACCGCCGTCGTGCGCGCGCTGCTCTCGGCCCTAGAAGCGGAATACGGATTCACTGTATTCGTCTCCGTTGTATTCACGCGGTGCTCTGAACACACTGCACAATACCGTCCTCCCGCCCTGAGGTCGGCGTATTCAGCACGTAGGCTCTCGGCCCTGCCCGCCGCCGCCTCGACCGAGGACCGCACGTTCTCCCTCCCTCTGCACTACGCGAGCCACGGCGACAGCGGCCAGGCGGGCGCCGGCGGGGGCGAGGCGAGGCGCGCGGGTGGCCGAGTGCCTGCGGTGGCGGCCCTGCTCTCCGAGGCGCACAATGGGAATAGGAACAGTAGCAGAATAATCACAGCGATTCCAATAAGTGGCGGCCCTGCTCTCCGAGGCGCACAATAATGACAGTAGTAGCAGTAATAGTAGCTGAACAGCGCTTGTAAGTGGCGGGCCTGCTCTCCAAGGCGCACCCGCCCCGCGGCGACGGGAGCTGGACGCTGCCGCAGCTGCTGCGGTTGGGCGCGGCGGGCGAGGAGGTGGACGGGGCGTCCTCGTCGGTTGGGCGAGCTCACCCCAGATTGCGTGGTCGCTAGGTGCGGCAGGCGAGGAGGCGGCGCTGAGTCTGATAGCGCGCGAGCCGAGCGCTGCGCAGCAGGACGCGCACGCACGGGGCCACCACTCCCTTCTGCCCTCTCCTGCCCACGCCTGCCGCTGGCCACGGCAGGACGAGCACACGGGCAGTTTTCCCTTCCACCTCGCCGTCTTCCACCACGCCTCACAGCCGGTGCTGGACGCGCTGCTCGCCGCGGCGCGCGAGGCGGCGCGGCGGGGGGACACCTCTTCACACACGCTTCTTCCTTATCGTCCGCACCGTCCTTTTCTAGGCGCCCGGAGCGGCGACGGTCAAGTTCAGCTGACACTGCACTGGGCAGTCGTCGGGCACTGGACAGCCGCCAACGCCTAAGCGACTCGAGTGCACAGAGCTCAGTGCAGTGCCCCAGTGCCAGTGCCTCTTCGCTGTCCTCGCAACAGTGCACAGACGGTGGACCCCGCAGTAGCTGCGCTAGAGCTAGCGGTGATAGCTGTGAAACCGTCATGGATTGCGTGCACAGATGGTGGACCTCGCAGTAGCTAGCCCCCCACCAAAGGGGGGGGGCACGTGACCGTCAGGTCAAGTCCGGTCAAGTGCCCCCCCTACGGCTTTACGAAAGAGCTCTTGTGATTGTCGGCGACCCCGCGTATCTGGCCACTGTTCTGGTCGCAACCCGTCGTAGCTCGTAGCTCGTACAGTAGGCTCGGCAAGCGCAACGCACTCCCACACGCTCGCGGCCGTTCGGTTCCCATTTTCAGCCCCACAAGCACAACCCCGCAGTGTTTTCCTGTTTCCGTTTGTGTATATCACCACTACGGGTTCCCTTTTAGTTCTCTTACTCTAGCTGTGGTAAGGAGGTGCTGGATGGAGAAGGTTTCGCAAAAAAAGCTCACTCGACCGGGTTTGCGTTGAGGAGCGAACCGAGCGGCCTCGCTGGGGGCCAGAAATCGGCCCGCGAGTGCTCCGCAGCAGCCTCGCTGAGCCAGACGGTCGGCTCGCGAGGTGGATGCTAGCATGAGCCCGATGCGTCGCAGTGCTCTTGCGTTTCGGCGGTAGTGATCTGATCACCCGAATACCACGTTCGGATCGCTCCTCATCGCAAACCCCGTCAGCAGTCCTCCTCCGGGAATGTACGTAAGAGCTACATACACTGAAAAAAAGCTTGGTTATTACTGGCCTGCCTGCCTGCCTGGGTTTTTTTAGGCATGTGTCGCAGCTCAGGTATGAGGTCCCTGGCTACGGGACGGCGACCTTCGACCTGAAGCACGAGAAGGCCGCGGGCGACCGCGAGCCGGTGCAGGCGGCGGAGCGCTCGTTCGTCGAGCGCACCGCGCCGCGGAAGGAGGAGCTGACGGAGGAGCAGAAGGATGCTCGGGCCGCGGCTCGCAGGGCCAAAAAGGCCCGGCAGAAGGCGAACAAGGCGGAGAAGGCTGCGGCGGCGGCTGCGAGCGAGGCTGAGCGTGCGGACTACCCGCACGCGCAGCTGCGCGAGAACCCACACCGCAGTCTCCGAACGTTGCGGCGGGGGTCGGAGTCTGGACTCATTCTTCTTTTGCGAGGTCCCAGGAGCATGCGGTGGGCACGGCAACCGACGAGGAGGTCGAGGAGGAGGCAGCGGGGGCGGTTTCGGGCGCGGCGCGCGGCGCCGAGCCGGACGGCCCTCCCACTGCTCGCCAATCTCGCCCCTCCCACTACTCGGTTGCCCAGTGGGCGGCTATCCAGGCGGCTGAGAAGGCGGCATGGGACGCGGCGCGCTGCCCTAGGGTTAGGGCGGCTTTGGACGCTATGCCGGAACAGGGGCCGGGATGTTGCGACGGAGGGCCGGAGCTATGGGCTGGCGCCACGACGTTGCAGGACACGGAGGGGTGGAAGGAGCTGGTGAAGGCGGGAAAGATTCTGCTCTTCGACGAGGATCGGGCGGTGGTGATGCGATATGCTCCTGGCGGGGGGCGCGGTCGAGGGCGCGGGGGTGGGTCGCGCAGTGCCCGCTGGCGGGGCAAGCGGCGAGGGGGTCGCCGGGGGTTGGGATGATGGGGATGGTCTTTTCGGCGAGCACTACGGTGCTCGCGGATTCGACTGTCCCCCCGATCGTGCCCACCTCCATGAGGACGACGGCGCCTTCTAAAGGTCCGTCGCAGGCTGTGCCTCTTTTGGTACCTGTGTCGAACCTGTGTGCTGTGCGAGAGAGTTCTGTTTGTTGAATTCTTTTGTGTTCAGCGTCTTGTGAGTTGCACCCCTCTGTACCCCCATCCAAGTCACCCTTCGTGCGCTTGCGGCGCACAGATGTTCGTCGCACGCACGCCCCTCCTACTCGGCCTGTTGGGCATCGCCAACGTCGATGCCTTTGCCAGCGCGCCGAACACGCTGGAGGACATGACCGCTCGTATGGTTAGCGGGCTCATCGAAGACTTTGCTGCTGTGAGCGCCAATTTCGGCGAGGACAGCGTTGAGACCGTCGCCAAGGCGGTGATCAACAGCACTCCAGAGCTGAACTCGTATGTTCTCAAGATCATGTCGCACATGACAGGAATGGAGGCGTGGCGCACGGGCGTCCCGCCGAATGGTACCGCGATACTAGATCTTAAACCCCACGACGTCCTACCATGAGCCTAGATCGTACCTGCTGCTCACGCGCGGCTGCCCGTTTCTGGACAGACGCCCTCATCTCAAAGTTCTGGGACGAGGATTCGTGGCACGTGACCGAGACGGTGAAGATTGACAAGATCACCGAGACCATCTACAACGCCGTGTCGCCCGAGGCCACCTCCTACCTCTACCGCAACGACGACCTGACGCTGGTGAAGGAGATGATCGACTTCCCAACCACGTCCAACTCGCCGGAGGACGTCACCTTCGACCTGCCCACCGCAGTGGCGTACACCGGGCCCTCGGACCTTTACTACATGCCGTTGACCGATCTCGCCTCGCTCATCCAGAGCAAGACCGTCAGCTGCGTGACGGTCGTGACCGCCTTCAAGGAGCGCCTTGAGGAGTTCGACCCCTACCTCGCCTTTGTGACGACGCCACTCTACGACTCGGCCCTCACCACCGCCGCCGAGTACGACGAGCTGCTTGCCGCCGGCGAGTCCAAGGGTCCGCTCATGTGCATCCCCTTTGGGAGGAGGGCCCCCCCCCAAATCCCGGAGGAGCCGCCTTTGTAGGGCAAATTCTTTTTTTAAAAGAGAAAGAAGAAAGTCCCTTCCCCGGTGGTCCCCCAGGTGATGAGTTAGGGGGGGTTCCCGTTCGAAAAAATGCCCAGGGGGTTCCCCCCCCCCCCCCCCCCCCAGACCTTTGTTATGGACTACATGAAGGAGATGCCCTGCATGCACACGCACGGCGGGACGATCGCCGGCGCGTACGCGACCCTCACAGCGCTGCCGTTTAAGGACTACCTCAACTTCGCGGTGGGCGCGGCCATCCAGGAGTACGAGCCGATCAAGGAGATCCTCTCGATTCGGCCAAACGAGATGGCGATCAAGTCCGCCTTCGAGGGCCGCACGCGCTGCCCCGCCTCTTACTACGAGGGCTGGACCGTCGAGACCTGCCCTGAGGTCAACACAGCCGACGGCCCGCCCTTCCCGCCGGGCCGTGAGCCCGGGCTCGCCTCGGCCTGCGACCCTAGCTCGTCTAGCCAGCACGTGCCCACCGACTTCGGCTTGGAGCCGTACATTCCGCCGTACATGATGGACGACCCGATGCCCGACCGCGCCATCTGGAACTTTGAGGCCTACAAGGAGGAGACCGACGTCTGCAAGAGCATCTGCCGCTTCTCGGAGTCCTTCTGCGAGCACAAGGGCTGGCTGACCGGATGCAACGAGGACCGCCGCCGCAAGCTGCAGGTCGAGAAGGCGAACAAGAAGGCCTCGCACGACGAGTGGGGCAACGCCATTAACTGGAACGTCTACCTGGACCCTTGGGACCCCGACAACGAGGACAAGAACTGAGAGTCGAGCGAGGGCGCGGTTGCGATTTAGACCTCTGTCTAGGGTCGATGGAGTCTTGCTCCCCGGCGACGTCTAGTCGCTGTTGCACACTTGGTACCGACCCACACCCCGTCACCCACTAGCAGCATGTGCCTGGCGACCTCAACATGACGGTCGAGCTGGGTCGAGGTGATAGCTGTGATTGGGCCAGCCAGCCAGCCAGCCCGTTCGCTAGCTGACCTGTCTGTGCGCCTGGGCTGTATGTTTGGCGGCAAGCACACGCCGCGCCGCTTGTCTAGTGGTCCCAGCCACGAGTTCAGTCACGCAGTCGAGCCCTGAGGGGGGGTGTAGAGGGTGTAGAGTGTACAGCGCTGTACCCTGTAGAGATGTTGGATGGAGCACTTAGGTTAGGGAGCACTTTTTTTTTACTTTTTTACTTGGAGTGCTCAAGAACTCACGCACGGTGTAGTGAGACCGAATCCACGCACCACGGGGACTACGGGGCGCGCACGTACACCAACCAAGGTCGGAGAAGCCTCTCCCGAAAAAGAAGAATTTAAAAAGAAAACCAACAACCGAAACGAGGGACAGAGATAGGGAGTGGACCGTGAGTTGAGGAAATCGGAGGACGCGACCCACTTCGCCACAGACGGTCCCGCGCCTCGCCGCTAAGTTTGCGGCACGCCCCGCACCGTCCGCTGTGCCGCGTTTTTTGTCCGGAGTGAAAAGTCCAACGCGCTCGTCGGTGACGGTGTCCTCCAACCTGCGCCGCGCTCGGCGAACCTCGACAGCGCCTCCCATCGGCGGCATGCAGCTCTTTGGCTTGGAGAGCAGCTCCTCTGCTGTTCACACACTCTGCACAGTTGACACAGCCTACTGTGCGGCTGCCACAGCTGTGACAGCGATGGGCTCGCCCTCACTGGCCTTCAGTCACTTGTGCTGCGGCTTGTGTGAGCGACACTGCTCGGCGACTGCCGGCACACTGTGAGACCATGGGTGTGAGGTTAAACCACGCTACCAGCGCTTGGTCACATCGGCCCCGAGGTCAGATCCTTCTACTCTGTTGATGACAAGACTTGTCTACTGGCTGGAGCCGAGCAGGAGAGCCCAGCGCACAACCCCTGGTCAACTCAGGGTCCACACCCCGCACTGTGCTCGACTGCGCGGCGCCGGTTTGTTTCTTTTTCCAATGACTGGGACCTTCCGGCCAGTTCACGACCCACACGTGCCTTTTTGGGACTTGCAACACGATCCGAGAAAAGAATTTTTCGCTTGGCGGCCGGGTGCAGACTCGGCGAGGTGGATGGGTTGGGAGCGAGGGGGCGGAAGTGTGCAGTGCGGTAGATGGTCAGCTTGGGGCGCATGAGCCGGACTTTCTCTGCGTTCTCTGGAGTGCGAGGTATCTCGTCTGTCGCCGTCCCAAACTGTCACTCCCCTTTCTCCCGGCCGGGGTGGGGCGCGCGCGGGGGCGGCGGGTGTGCGGGATGTCTGTGGGCCCGAGAAAAAGAAAGAAAGAAAACAGACAACCCGAAGGAGGGATGGGAGGACGGCACGCCGCCACCACACAGGGATTTTAAGGAGAGGAGTGTGGTGCTAGCCGTCTGTGGGCCCGAGAGCGATCTGCCATGTCCGCCTTGCTTTTGTTTCATACGAAGGCTAGATCTAGCTCAAAAAATGAGATCTCCACATCCCAATCGCAACCCTGTACATGTGCTGGTATACTGTGCTGTATGAATGGTTGGGCAGGTGTGAACAACACCTCCTGACCACGGCGCCGCAGGCGCCTGTTGATAGGTCCAGGTGATAGCCCTGGATGAGCAATGCATACGCCTAGTTGGACCTCAGATCACTCGCCCGCGTCCCGGTGCTCTGCCGTCGGATTTGTGACGCCGCCGCACCGCGCCGCGGGATGGTGCTTCGCCGGCGTGCGTCCCGGAGCGGTCCCGGACGGGCGCTCCGGGGGAGAAAACTCAGGGCAACGCCGACGCCGCTCTGATTCGACTTTTAATTTCAAACAAAGACAGTGGCCGCAGCGCGGTGCATGCCACTGTCAGGAGCGGATCCGTCAGTTAGTCGTGTTCACGCCGGCATCGTGCCCTGACTATGGTGTATCGCGCGCCTTGCGGGGGGGGCGCGGAAAAGAGGAACCTCTTAGCGCCCTCGCCATGGTGCTGCAAGCAGCGCCGGGCGACGACGGCTTACCGCCTCCCGGTCCCCCTCGGCACACCTCCTGCTCAATGTTTGACGACTCGAACCCGTGAAGCTTCCCCGCGCGCGGGTTACCCCGCACACGGGTCAGCTGCCCCAACCATTCGCCACGGCGACGAGTACGAATGTGTGTGCTATCGACAACCACGGCGGCGGCGGCACTGGTGGCGTTCGGGTCAATCGGCTTCGCGCTTGGCCTCGATGCCATGGGCACAGTCCAGCCAGAGCAATCTGCGTTAAACGGATGCCATCACGTTTTCCTGGACATCGGCTCGAACGTCGGTGTGCAGATCACAAACGTCTACGAGGGAAAGAATTCGCGGATGAAGCCAACCTTCGACCGCCTCTTACCGCGCTGAGCTTGTGTGCTCAGTGGTAATGGAGCCTAACCCGCACCACGCGGATGTGCTGCGGGGCCTGAAGCGGCGGTACGCGCCCGCCAGGATCTTGGTCCTGAATGGCACTGCTGCCTCCAACCGCGACGGCACGCAGCCCTTCTTCATCCTAGGTTCGCATCCGATGTATCATGAGTGGGGCTCCTCCCTCCTCGACCGGGCCGGCGGGAGCAGCGCCGATCGCGGCCACGTCGACATTCGCACCGTCGACCTCGCGCGGTGGACGCACAGGGAGGTGCTCCGCCGAGCACCGAAGCCACACAGCAAGAGGCGGTCGGCAGCGCTGCCCCCCGCTGTCGTGATGAAGCTCGATGTCGAGGGCGAGGAGTACAACGTGCTGCCCAATATGCTCGCGCATGGCGTGCTCTGTCAGCTCGACGCCGTCTTTCTGGAGTATCACGACGCGTCAACAAGGCACAGAGATATCGAGAACCGCTACAAGGTGCCGGCTGCGTTCCAAAAGACGATCAACTATCTAGTAGCCCATGCCGGGCGGTGCAACGTCACCATCCAGACGCTCGGCGCGAATGAGATCTGAAACCCTCCTAGCCCAACCCTCCTAGCCCAACCCTCCTAGCCCAACCCTCCTAGCCCAACCCTCCTAGCCCAACCCTCCTAGCCCAACCCTCCTAGCCCAACCCTCCTAGCCCAACCCTCCTAGCCCAACCCTCCTAGCCCAACCCTCCTAGCCCAACCCTCCTAGCCCAACCCTCCTAGCCCAACCCTCCTAGCCCAACCCTCCTAGCCCAACCCTCCTAGCCCAACCCTCCTAGCCCAACCCTCCTAGCCCAACCCTCCTAGCCCAACCCTCCTAGCCCAACCCTCCTAGCCCAACCCTCCTAGCCCAACCCTCCTAGCCCAACCCTCCTAGGCGCGCACTTGTCACTTTCCAAGTCTACGGTGTTCTGAGTGGAGTGGAGATGGAGGCGTGTGTGCGTCTTCCCGTCATCCAGAGAGCCGACTCGGCGGCAGACTCTGGCATCGCCCTCGCGGACCGCAGCTTACCTCTTACCTAAAATCCTTAGGGGGGCGGCTCTGGCCTGAGTGCCGGCCGGAGCTAAGAAACCACGGCGTGGGGTGGATGAGGGCTGTGGAAAGGCTTAGAAACGGCGGCGTGCCGCCGAATCCTGTTTTCTTAATGCCCGCAACCCACTGTAGGCTATGATGTCTCCTATGATGTCTCCTAGGCTATGAACCTATGATGTGTCTCCTATGATGTCTTTGCTGCTATGATGTCTTTGCTAAGCTTGCTAAGCTAAGCTATGTATGTCTTTGTCTTTGCTACTAAGCTATGTATGTCTTTGCTAAGCTATGTATGTCTTTGTCTTTGCTAAGCTAGCTATGTATGTCTTTGTCTTTGCTAAGCTACTAAGCTGTATGTCTTTGTCTTTGCTAAGCTGTGTATGTCTTTGCTAAGCTACGCTATGTATGTCTTTGTCTTTGTCTTTGCTAAGCTAAGCTATGTAGCTTTGTCTTTGCTAAGCTAAGCTATGTATGTCTTTGATGTCTTTGTCTTTGCTAAGCTATGTCTTTGTCTTCGCCATGCCTTTGCTTTGCCCTACCTGTCCTCGACCCTGCCTTCTTTGACACCTTGGATGTCCCCTTGCAAACTTTGCTACCAGGCCCCACCGCCGCCCCTTGAGTCGCAAAGGTGCTACAAGTACCTAGACGACGAGCATGAAGTGAGTCTATCAGTAAGCGCGGGTTAGCGCGGGTTAGTGCTCACTAACCCGGCACGGGTTAGCACGGGTCAGAATGGGTTACCATAACCCGGCACTAACCCGGCACTAACCCGGCACTAACCCGTGCGACTGGGGGGCATACGTCAGCATGGGTCTGCGCCGGGTTAGGGGTGGGTTAGGGCCGGGTTAGTGCAGCGCACCCCGGGTTAGAGCTGGTTGGCGAGATGAACCGCAAGACCTCGAGGGTGATTTTGGTCCGTCCCGCGACCGTTACGCCCACCAAATAAGGCGGGCGCCACGATTCGGACTGCGAGGGCACGGTGTGTATGAAACGGCTGCGGCGGGCACCCGAGCCGACCTCCGCGATGGAGCCTTGGCTGCAGAAGGCCGTGGATGCCAAGCTGCTCATTGAGAAGAACACCCGCGTGCGCAGTTCGGACGGGTCCAAGGCGCTTGCTAAGGCCGTCGGCTACACGTGCGCCAAAGACTCGTGCGGCATGCTCTTTCCGCTCGGTGTATCGAAGCACCAGTACGATCGTCACTTGAGGGAAGCGGCGGCACATCGCACGAGCAACTTTGCCTTTGGCACGAGCGTGCCAGCTCGTAGCGCTGCGTCTGTTCATCCTCCAACGGGCAGCGACCGGCTGAGTTTCGTCCCCGGCCTTCGTCGGCTCAAATCTTTGCGGCGGCGAGCGCCAAGGCTGCCGCGGCAGTGGCTGCCCAGGCGGCATCGGCTGCCGAAGAGAGCAACCAGGCCGAGCGCGCTCGCGCGCCGCTGCACGCGGCTGCTGTGGCCGCCACCTGTGCCAAGGCGACCGACGCTGCCTGTGGTGTGGAGAGAGTTGTTTTTGTGGTGTGGCGAGTGAGTGAACGCACGAGAGAGGGGCGGAACGAGCCGTAGAGCTCTAACCCAAACCTAACCCGAGACTAACCCGAGACTAACCCGAGACTAACCCGGCGCTAACCCGCGCTGCTCGGGGGCATACGTTAGGATGGGTTAGTGCCGGGTTAGTGCCGGGTTAGCGTCGGGTTATGGTAACCCGTTCTAACCCGTGCTGACCCGTGCTGGGTTAGTGGAGCACTAACCCGGTGGAACCCACGCTAACCCGGCGCTTACTGATAGACTCACCATGAAATGCCGCGCTGGTTCCGAGCGCGACCTTGATAGGGTCGCAGCCTCGCGGTGACATCAGCGCAGCGTGGACAACGTCGCTTTGCCTTGCGGCCAGGCGACCAAGAGGAGGAAATATGTCGCACGAGCCACGCGTGAAACGCCGCAGGGGTCTGCAGAGGCTGGACGACTTCCTCGCAGCATTCTCCGACGAGGTCTGCATGAACGAAGCCGAGCGGTCATCCGAACGCGACTCCCGTGAAGCTCGGTGGTAAATCGCAAAGCTCCTCACAACCGCACGGGAGAGAGAAAGAGAGAGAGAGAGGTAGCTGATCTCATTGGTCCCAGCTGATTCCCCAAAGGCACGTGTGGCAGTTCCTGACCGTAGTGCCGATCGCTGCAGGCGCAACGGGTGCTGCATGAGCGAGGCGGCGAGGCAACGTCGCGGCGTAGCGAAGCCATCTCCCCGCTGTGTGCGCGATGGCCGTGAAGTCCGCCTCGCAGGCCCTGAGACAGACGCCAAGAGCGCCTGCCGCGGGCGGTCTCAGCTCTTGTGCCGCGCCACTCGTACAGCGCTGAGTTGGATTACACCATCGTAGGCACGGTGCTTTCATCGTCACCGACGCGATGCGCGAGCAGAGCCTCCACAACGAGTTTGAGAGCGAGACGGCCAGGCTACAGCAGGAGGCATCTTTGACGCAGCAGCAGCTCGCGCTCCACGCTGTGCGCGACCGTTATCTGGCTCGCGTGCATTTCAACCTCGGGCTGGCCGATGGGGCGACGGGTATGGCTGATATGGCGGACGCGATATGCGGCGGATGGGTTGCGGAAGGCGATGCTTTCACAGCACTTGCGCATGCAGCGCGGCTGCGTGCTGAGCAGGCACAGCAGCGTGTTGAGCAACTTGCACGTCCCGGTGCGCAAGTCCCGTGCCAGTGGTGCGCAAGTCCGGTGTTGTGCAAATTGGTGCCGGTGCGCAAGTCACGCACGTGCCAGTGTCACGTGCCCAGTTTATACGTGCCCAGTGAGCAGTGTCACGTGCCCTGACGTGCCCAGTGTTGTGCACGTTTAGGTCTTTTGTGCGCGACCGTGCAAGTGTCGAGCGATTCCGTGTGCGAGTCTCGCTCGGCGAATCCGCTTATAGCAAAGAAGGGGGAGGGCGTGGGTCTGCGGGCTTGGGGCGCACCCCACCCCGCTCAACGCAAACACTCATGCCCGACACGAGATCCAGAAATTGCAATCATGCATCAGGTAAGGTAAGGTAAGGTAAACTTCTCCACACACACGAGGTGGTGGGGCAAGGGGGGGCAACCCTCGCGTCTCCACGTCTAACGACAGGAGCCCCACGGCATTTAAAGTGCAAGGCCCGGTGCGCGTGCGTGAGCGGTGTGTGTGTGTGTGTGTGTGTGTGTGTGTGTGTGTGTGTGTGTGTGTGTGTGTGTGTGTGTGTGTGTGTGTGTGTGTGTGTGTGTCACGTCACTGCATCCTCTGCCGGTTCCTCCCGTCGCCTCTTCTTTGTTCGAATGTGTTTCAATCCATCCTTCACGAAGCCCTCCCATGTAGCTAGCGTTCTTTGCGAATGTCTCGAGATGGCCAGCAGGCGCTGTCTGCTCGCGGCCTGTGCGGGCCGCTCGTCCTCCTCGCCCTTCTTTCGTCCTCCCGTCCCTCCCCTCCACCATGGCCTTCTCGGCACTTCTTTCTCCATCCGCCTCGCCCTGCCTTTTCGTATTGTGCCGTTCGCCCTCCATTCGGTGACCTCCATGGCTGTCCGGCTCCTTTTGGGTGGCGCTCTCGATACCGTTGCGTCAACCTCGACGTCGCTGTCGCCCTCCCCGTCCCCGCCGTCGCCCGTGCCTCGGTTCGCGTCATTGGTAGCGTTTCCGCTGCCCCCTCGTGCTCCGCCGTCGCCCTCTCTGCTCGGGCCGTTCGCGATTTTGCTCCTCCTGCGTGTCGCCCCTCCGTCTTCTCCCCCTACTTCGTCGTCATCGTCGCTGTCGCGAAAGCCCTCCGGTCCCTCGATTCCCTCGTCTATCCCCTCCGCTGCGTCGTCCCAGTTTATATCCTCATCCTCTGTGCGCTTTTTCGTTCCCTCCCCTTCTCCATCGTTGTCGCCTCCGTCGACTGCGGCGCTGTCTCTGCCCTCGCCTCCGTCCTCCTCGTCTCGCCTGCCGTCGTCCCGTGTCTCCTCGTCCTCGCCATCGTCTTGGCCGTTGTGCATCATCTTGTGAGACATGAGCTGTACAGCTGTACACAGTACATATGCGTGCGTGTGTGTATTTACGCTCACAAGATAGCGGCGCTCAGCAACGCATCAGACGCACGAGAGTAGACGACCCGCGCTAGACGCTAGAGCCTTGCGTGGTAAGTACACGCTTCTACGTATATAGTGTACTAAGCTTCGCCGCCGCCGCATCGTGAGCGCACAGACGGGAGATCCAGAGACCTCACGCCCCTCTGCGTTGGCGCTTTGCAAGGCTCACTCGCGGGTCATCCAACAGCCCGACTTCGTCGCTGTCGTAGCCGGTGAGCTGTCGGAGTCTCGAGAGAGGGTGTGTCCGCTCGCCGCCGTCGTGCAGAGGCTGCACGACAGCCCCGCCCGCGTCGATGCCCCGCAAGTAGTACAGCGTGCCGTCGGAGCACTGCACGATCGCCGTCTTAGCCTTGTGCAGCTGCCTCGTCGCCTCGTCCACGTCGAGCAGCGTAGTGGTTGGCGGCACCTCGGTGAAGGGCTGCTGCTTGGCCTTGCTCGCTGCGTCCCCGGGGTAGCCGGATCGCCTCGCGGCCGGCCCTCTGGGCGAACGCATCGACGGCATGGACGAGCTGGACGAGGCGGGGGTGGGCGGCGCGGCGTCGCGCAGCTCCGCCTGCCACCGACTGGTCTCGGGCATCTCGACGGGCACCGATGGTGGGGCGAGGTGCCACGTGAGCGGCTTCAGCGGAACCAGCGGCTCGGCGGGCGCCTCCTCCTCTGCGCCGTCGTCGTCGTCGTCCTGCGGGCCGCTCGAGCTGAACGCGGCGACCGCCTTGGCGCGGAAGCTCGCGACGGTGTCCACGACCACGCCGTCCGTCTCCTCGAACCACCTCGCCACGCGCGGGAAGCGGATCGTCCACGGGAGCGACCGGTTGGACGACGCGTCCTGGTCCTGGTTGTACCGCCGCAAGAAGCGCGAGCCCATCACCTCGACGACGGGCGCGCTTTCGGGATCCAGCAGCACCCAATGGGGCCGCGCCATCGTGCTTGTGGGGCACTGCCGCATCCATGCCGGTGGCGGCTCGTCCACGCCTAGCCGGTTCATTAGGGCGGGCCGGTGCCCCCAGCCCTCAGTCAGGCATAAGTAGAGCCGCTTGAGCATCGGCTGGGTCAGCGAGGAGCCGCGCCAAGGCAGCGCCGAAGTGTTGAAGAGCCACACAAGTGGCGCAGCTGCCGCATCCGACTCGCGCGCGCCAATGGCGAACTCCACCAGCATGCTCGCCTCGTCGCCGGCGCCGAGCGTTCGCGGCACACGCGCCCCCAGCAGCAGCAGTGTGACGGTGTCGCCGAGGCCAGGTATGAACTCGACCTTACACTTGAGCACATTGGTGCGGCCGTTTGGCACGTAAGGCTGGTGCGCCGCCTTGACCATCAAGCCCTCGGCCTGCGCCGCCCGCGCCTCGTCAAAGGCGGCCTGCAGCGGTCCCTCCGGCGAGGCCAGGTCGACGCGATCGCTCTGCGTCAGCTCCAAGTAGTGCGGTAGGGCGATGAAGCAGCGGCCCGACTCGAGCAGCTCGCGCCGCTCGTGCAGCGGCCGGCGCAGAATCTCCTCGCCGTTGTACCTGCGGAGGTGTCTCGGAAGTGTCTCGGAGGTGTCTCGGAAGCGTCTCGGAAGCCTCTCGGAAGTGTTGCCGCACCGCAGCACGTCAAACACCTTGACAAGGTAGTGGCGGCGCGCGTCCTCCCGCGAGTAGCCTGACGGCTTGCCGTCGGCCGTCTGCCGCACCCAAAAGTTGGTGCCAAAGGCGGCGATGCCGGATCGCGTGCCGAGCTCGTCGTAGAGGCCCTTTGGTGTCATCGACTCGTCGTATACGAGCAGTTCGCCGTCGAGCACGAGGTCCGCCGTGTTGTGCGTGAAAGCCGCGCGCTGCTCCGGCGTGACCTTCGCCCACGCCTTTTCGAGCCACGTGAAACGCAAGCGCGTCGCCTCGTCGGTAGCGTCGCGGCGCAGCACCTGCTCGGGATCGCCGCCAAGCGCCAGCTCCACCGCCGGGAGCAGGTCGCCGACGTCGGCCGTGCACTCGACGCCGCTGCGGTAGAAACAGCGCATTTGCCTGTCGCGCCCGTGCCAGTGCAACTGAAATCGGAACCCATCGAACTTCGTCTCGATGAAGACGTCGTTGGTGCCGAGCTGCCGCGCGGCGGCATCGAGGTTGGGGCACGGCACGCTCAGCTGCGCTCTTACGTGTATGCCGAGCTGCACTGGTGGCGGGTAGGCTCGCGGAAGCACGCCGCGCTCCGCCGCCTCGCACACGCGCTCCAAGTTGTTCTGGTAGCGCAGCGTCGCGTACATCATGGGCGGCGAGCCCGCGCTCTGGTCGGAGGGCTTGCCGAGCCGCCCCTTGGCGCGGCAGAGGCCGTCCATGACGAGCTTGGGGTACTCGCCTAGCTTGGACAGAGGGGCTGGGGTACGTGTGTGGAAGATATCACTTACTGAGTACGCGCGAAGGGGCGTCCCTTCTGCGGCACGGGATTGCTCGGGCGCGAGCCAATCCGCAGGTCACGCAGCACAATGCGCGTCAGCCACTTGATCTCGCGCGGCTTGGCGACCCGCGCCGCCAGGCCCAGCAGCAGATCAACCTTGCCGGCATTCTGCATCGCGTCGAGAGCCTTGTTGACGGCGCCGACGGTGAGGATCGTATCGCGCCGCGGGTCGATCCGCTCCACTGCGAGCGCCTCCAGCACCAGCGAGACGTCGCCCGTGACTCCGAGCGCCACGCTCTCGTCGAGCATCCACGCCTTGCCGATCCCCTTGGCGCGCGGCTTGCCGATCCCCAGCCCCTCCGCAAACGTGGCGGCCAGCCTCTCCGTGGAGAGGCCATACCGCCGAGAGTCGTGGTGAGGCACCAGCAGACGCATGACGGCGAAGAGGCCGGGTCTCGCATGCCGCGGCCGCGCGCGTCCCGAAGGCGCCAGGCCGCGCCAGAACCTTGCGCTCATGCGCTTGCGCTTTTCTATTGCCCCCGTCTCGTTCGGCACCGCATCCATGGCGTTGAGCAGCAAGCAGAGCTCGTCAAACTTGGAGAGGGACAGGTCGTCGGAGGCGCCCGCAGCGTCGCTCGGTGGCGGCAGCGCGAGCGGCGGCTTCTCGATCCGCTCCACGACCAGCTGCCGGTTATCCTTGGGCCCCGTCGACCGCGTCTCGTAGAAGAGGTCCGGCATGTCGCGAGCCACCCCGTGGACGACGCTGCGCGATTTGTTGTGGTGACTCTCGCAAATCGGAAAGGCTAGCTTCGCCGGGCCGCTGCTGTCGGCGAAGGCCTCGAGGATGCATCGCGCGAAGCGCTCGGCGGCCGCCCTTTCGGGCTCGGACCCCTGCTTCCAATCGGCGGGGGCGACCACTTGAAAGTTCGCGGGCTTCACCTTGAGACGCTCGCAGGAGGGCATGAGCTGGACCAGCCACCGGCTCTCGCCACCGGCACCGCTGGTGGCTTCCAGGGCAAAGCCGACCATGCCGTTGAGTGCAGGCTTCCCCTGTAGGCTGTGGAGCACGATCCACGCGCCAGGCGAAACGTCGTAGCTACCTTCATCATCGGAGCCGTGGTCGTCGGTGACGCCCTCATCCGACGAGTTGTGCTCGTTGGCGGGCGGCGCCCGTGCCTCGGTGGCCGCACGGAGCTCATCGTCGGGTGTGGCGGCGGCGTGAAGGAGCTCGTCATCGGCGGAGATGCCGGCCATCGAGGAGAGAGGCCAGCGAGAGGAGGAGAGCGGCGGCGAGAGGAGGAGAGAGCGGCGGGCGGCTCCGAAAAAAAACCCCGCGGCGCGGGCGCCAACCGCCAGGCTCCGTGCCCCCCACCTACCTACCAATTCCCAGGCCGCGCAGCGAAGCGAAAAATCTCGAGCGAGAAATCCCCGTTGGGCCCTCTGTGAATAGGCTCCCAGCGCCCCGGCCGGGCTTGTACCGCGCGTGCAGCGCCGCTCGCGAGCCGCCGCCAGAGCATGGCCTACTCGTCTAGCAAGGCTCCGTTCGCGGCCAAACGCGCCGTCTCCCTTATTTTACACCACCACCAGACCACCACCACCACCTGCCCTGTCGCCTGTCTGCGTACCTTAAAGGTACCGTTGTTTCCGCTGGTGGCGGTCTGCGTGGTGTGTGAATAGACTCTCCGGGGACCGGGCGCAAATTTCTCTGCGTATGTATGTAGATACGGAGACTGGTCACGGACGACGCGCTCGTCTCGACACGGACGCGAGCAGAGCGTGTGTGAATCCGGCGAGTCCGCCCATACGTGTATGCAACCGTACAGTACCCCGCCGCCATCCGCCACGCTCCAGCGCCTTCGCGAGCCCTGTCCCGCCACGCGCGCTCCAGAGGAGAGACCCTCTCAAGCGCGCCGGCGCCATGACCCGCAAGGGGCGCGCAAGTCCGGGCGGTGTCCCTCTTTCCCTCAAGAGCTACCCTCGGCCTCACGCTTGCTCGTCAAAGGGGCGCATGTGCGCCCAGTCGCGACCGACCCGCACCTCGGCAGGCAGCCGCGGCAGCGGGAAGGCGGCGAACACGCCCTGCATCTCCTCCATGGCGCGTCGGACGCTCGTGACGGTCTGCGCGAGCGCCTCGTCACGCACCTCGAGCAGGAGCGAGATACGGGGAGATATGGGGAGATATGGGGAGAGATGAGGAGAGATGGGGAGCACCTCGAGCAGCTCGTCGTAATTATTATCATCATCATCAATTATCGGTACACATTGTTCTTCATTCACGCACCTCGAGCAACAGCTCGTCGTGGATCTGCGCAATCAGCCGCGCGGGGAGGTTGTGGGCAGACAGCTCCTCGCAGCAGCGGATCATCGCCTCCTTGGCGATGTCTGCCGCGGAGCCCTGGATCGTCGAGTTGATCGCCTGAACAGTTGCGCCTCGCTCCGTTGTTCAGCTGGGCGCCTGTGGCCAAGTGCTTTGGCCACCGAGAGCCGCTCGCCTGGCGCTCGGCTCGCGCACGGGCGGTGAAGTCGCGCGAGTTGATGTCTGCGAGCTGCCGGATGCGCCCCCCGATGGTCGTCGTCCTGCCGCACCTCCGCGCGCGCGCCTTGACCTTCTCCATGAACGCGCGCATGCCTGCTCACAGCTGCGCGCGTGACGAGGCGCCGCTCGCGCCGTGGCGTGCTCCACGGCGGCGCCCCCATGCCGCCGAAGCAGCGAAGGAAGTCCTCCTTGAGCCGCCGCGCCTCCGGCGTGCTGATCTTGAGGTGGCCTCCGAGCTGCTCTGGCCCGAGCCCGTAGCAGAGAGCGTAGCAGAGCTGCTTGGTCTTCTCGCGCTCCGCGGCGGAGACGGCGCCGACCTCTCGCTTGAAGAAGGCGGCGGCGATCGAGCGGAAGAGGTCCTCGTTCGAGTGGAGCATCCGGGCCAGGAGCGGGTCCTGCTCACCGGCCGGCGCAGGTGTGAAGAGACGCCGCCGCCCTCAGCGCGCGCGCGGCATGCGAGCCGGCCTCGGAGAAGGCGGCGAGCAGGCGCATCTCCCCATATACCCCCATATCTCCCATATCTCGAGCCTCGGAGAAGGCGGCGAGCAGGCGCATCTCCAGCTGCCTGCGGCACGGCTACGGGGAGGCTCGGAGACCGGGAGAGGAGGGGCGATGGGCAAAGCACGTCTCTTGTCGCCGGTAGTCTGCAGAGACGAGGACAGCCCCTGCCGAGGCGACAAAGGCGGACCGCACGCACACGCGCACCTGTGGGTGAGTGGTTGAGTGAGACATGCCTGGCGACTGAGCCGTCGCATGGCGGACCGCACGCACACGCGCACCTCGCTCGCCCCTCCGCTCGCAGCGCCGGGAACCGGCTCCGGCGACGCGCGAGGCACCTGCTGCACGTTCGGGTTGCGCGAGGCGACGCGGCCGGTGCCGGTGGCGAGCAGCTGCCAGCTCGTGTAGATGCGCGCGTCCGCGGCTCGCCCCGCGCCCTCCTCGCCCTCGCCCTCGCCCTCGCCCTCGCCCTCGCCCTCGCCCTCGCCCTCGCCGTCGCCCTCGCCGTCGCCCCCGCCCTCGCCGGCGCCGGCGCCGGCTGGACGGCAGTCGGGCACCGCCTTGGCGAGGAGAAGCTCGAGATATGGGGAGATATGGGGAGATATGAGGAGATGTGTGTGGGGAGACCGCCTTGGCGAGGAGGGGCTCGAGGAAGGCGTCGGTCGCCTTGCGATTCGTCACTTCATCAGTCGGGTGATGCATGGGTGTACACTAGCTAGCTCAGTGCGGCCGCCTTGCGGAGGTGGCGGTACTCGAGCACGATGGCGGGCAGCGCGCAGTCAGGCCGCGAGGCGGCCAGCCTGGCGAGGGGCCTCATTGGTGGAGCCGTGCCACATCTCCCCCTATCTCCCCCTATCTCCCCATATCTCGAGCCTGGCGAGGTGGGCCTCATTGGTGGAGCCGTGCCACATCTCCCCCTATCTCCCCCTATCTCCCCATATCTCGAGCCTGGCGAGGTGGGCCTCATTGGTGGAGCCGTGCCACATCTCCCCCTATCTCCCCCTATCTCCCCATATCTCGAGCCTGGCGAGGGTGGCCTCATTGGTGGAGCCGTGCCACATCTCCCCCTATCTCCCCATATCTCCCCATATCTCGAGCCTGGCGAGGTGGGCCTCATTGGTGGAGCCGTGCCCGGACCTCGCCGCCGCCCCCGCCGGAACGGGCGGCGGCGGCAGGCGCAGCCGGGCGTAGAGCGCCTCGGAGACCTGTTGCGGCGAGCCTATGGGCACGAACCAACTAGTCAGCAGAGAGTGAGCCGGGCGTAGAGCGCCTCGGAGACCTGCTGCGGCGAGCCTATGGGCACGAGCCAACTAGTCAGCAGAGAGTGAGCCGGGCGTAGAGCGCCTCGGAGACCTGCTGCGGCGAGCCTATGGGCACGAGCCAACTAGTCAGCAGAGAGTGAGCCGGGCGTAGAGCGCCTCGGAGACCTGCTGCGGCGAGCCTATGGGCACGAGCCAACTAGTCAGCAGAGAGTGAGCCGGGCGTAGAGCGCCTCGGAGACCTGCTGCGGCGAGCCGAGGTTGAGCGGTCCTCCAAGCAGCGCCTCTGCCTCGCGCGACAGCGCCTCGCACCGCCGCTGGACCTCGCCGAGCGGGCGGCGCAGGGTCGGGAGGTGGAGGGGAAGTCCGTGCAGCTCCATGTCGGTGAGCACCTGCGCCACGGTGAGCTCGCGCTGCATCACAGCCACGCCCGCCGGCCCATGAGACGCCTTGAGCACGCCGCACAGCTGCCCGCACAGGGCCCAGCACGCGCGCAAGTCGGCCTCGAGCTGCTCGGCGCCACCAGGCTCCGCACCGAGGGCTGCGTGGCCCGCCGCCGCCGCCCCCCCCGCGCCAGCGCCGACCATGTAGCGGCTGTAGAGCGCGGGCAGCGCCAGCTCCGCCTCGGTGGAGTCGGGCTCGGCGAGCCACGCCATCAGCACCGGGTCGACCTGCTCACGGCTGGAGAGTGTGAAGAGGCGCCGTTCACAGCCTCGAGCCACGCCATCAGCACCGGGTCGACCTGCTCACGGCTGGAGAGTGTGAAGAGGCGCCGTTCACAGCCTCGAGCCACGCCATCAGCACCGGGTCGACCTACTCACGGCTGGAGAGTGTGAAGAGGCGCCGTTCACAGCCTCGAGCCACGCCATCAGCACCGGGTCGACCTACTCACGGCTGGAGAGTGTGAAGAGGCGCCGTTCACAGCCTCGAGCCACGCCATCAGCACCGGGTCGACCTACTCACGGCTGGAGAGTGTGAAGAGGCGCCGTTCACAGCCTCGAGCCGCGCGAGCCGCCCGCAAGACGACCCACAGGCCCGTCTCGATCTCGAGCGCCGAACTCACTCCATCGAGAGTGAAGAGGGCGGAGCGCAGCACCACCTGTACATTGGGGCTCGAGATATGGGGAGATATGGGGAGATATGGGGAGATATGGGGAGCAGCACCACCTGTGCATTGGGGCAGACCAGCGACACCGCCCCGCCTCCGCCTCCGCCGCCATGCCCCCCGCCTCCGCCGCCATGCCCCCCGCCTCCGCCGCCATGCCCCCCGCCTCCGCCGCCATGCCCCCCGCCTCCGCCGCCTCCGCCGCCTCCGCCGCCTCCGTCGACTCCCTTCTTGCGCAGGAGGAGGCGGCGGAGTGCGCCTCTCCCGCCCGCGCCTTCTGCGCCGCGCAAGTCGAGGTGCAGGAACGCCTGTCCCCCGCCTGTCCTCACAATGCCCCTCGTGGAGAGACACGGCTCGCAACCGGCCGAGGCAACATGGCATACCCCGCCTCCTCCGCCGGCGGCGGCTCGGCTCTGGACGAGGAGCGACGCGCCGATGACCGCGGCCGCCTGCTGCTGCGAGTCGTTCTGGCGCAGGCTCGGCCTGGCCGAGGTCGAGCCGTCCTCGTACAGCCAGACGAGGACGGCGCCGTCCGCCGCCTTGAGACAGTCGAGCTGCGTGGAAGTTGCCGGCTGTATGAGCGCCTCCATCGCCCGCAGACCTACGTGCTGAGTACGCCAGCCTCGGGAGGACGGCCTTGTGCAGTGTCTTCAGAGTGCTGCGTGAATACGGGCGACACAGATACAATATGAGTACGGCGGAATTCGGCCGAGTACAGTTGAGTACGTGTCCTCTCGAGCGCTGGTTGGAGTACGAGAGCCCGTGTTCCGCTTCTAGGCCAGCAAGCCCCGCGCGAGGAGCGCCCCCTCCTCCTCCAGCCGCCGCTTGGTCACCTTGCTGCCACCCCACTCGCGCCGCGGAGTCGCCGCTGCCGAGCGAGCGCCGCCTTGGCTCGCGCTGGCCGGCGGCGGCCGCACGCCCGCCGCCGTCCCTTGCGAAGGCTCGCTCGGCAGGCCCATCCAGCCGCAAAGAGAGGACTGAGACGAGGGCGGCTGCGGCGGCGGCTGCGGCGGCGGCTGCGACCGTTGCTGCTGCGACGTTCGCTGCTGCGACGGTTGCTGCTGCGACGGTTGCTGCTGCGATCGAGCAGAGGCGCGGCCAGCCTATCAATTGACCATCAACTAACTGATCAATGAGCAATCAATGAAGCCCCGCGCGGCCACGCGGCCAGCCTCGGCGGAGGTAGTCGCGGCGGCATCACCAGCGGGTGCAAAGGCAGCGGCGGCAGCAGCGGCGGCAGCGGCGGCAGCAGCGGTTGCAGCAGCCGCGGCAGCAGCAGGTGCAGCGGCAGCAGATGCAGCAGCGGCAGCGGCGGCGGCGTGGCAGTCCGAGTCCGTCTCACCAGAAGTGAATGCCGAGGCGGTCGGGGCGGCCGCAGCGGCCGACGCGGCCTCCTCGAAGGGGCGGCGCTGGAGCGGCGAGAGGCTTGCGTATGCGAGCTCCATCCGCAGCACGAGTTCGCGCGGGCCCTCCTACGAGCCATCGATGTGAATCCGTCCCTGCAACGCCTCGCGTATGCTGGACGGACGCGTCGCGAGGGGGCGCGCGGCAGGTAGCCTGCGGGTGCGCCTCGCCGAAGCTCGCGCGGCGCTGCTTCTTGAAGTAGTACACGCCCGGACGCGGCGAGGCGGCGGCAGGCGAGGCGGCGGCGGCAAGAGATGCGGACGCAGCCGGGAGGGAAGCAGCAGGGGCGGAAGCGGCCGGGGCGGACGCTCGCTCGCCCGTCGGTAAAAGGGTCCTCGGCCACGGCGTGGCCTCCGCCGAAGCAGCGGCGGTGGCGCCTCCTCCCGCCTCACTCTCGCCCCTGCGTCCTGGCGGCGGCGGCTCCTGCAGCGGCGCGAGGGCAAAGCTCTGGAACGACTGGTGCTGCTGCGACTGGCCCCACGCCGGCGCGGAGGTGGTTGGTGCGTCCTGGGATGAGGCCGAAGGCACAGAGCTGAGCTGCTGCGACAACTGGCGCGGCTGCACATTCGCCCACTCTCCGCCGGTCGATCGCGCCTCGAAGCGAGGCGCCGCGCCCGTGACGGGCGTGCGGCTCCCAAGCTCGATTCCTCGGCCCTCCCGAGGGGCGGGCCTTGCAGCGGGCAGCGGCGTGACAGACACCCGCAGGGCCGGAAGCTCGAGTGGGGACGTCAACGCGAGGCGGTTGCGGGTCAGGTACTCGGCGAGAGGAAGTCCGCCGTGCAGCCACAGCGCGTAATGTGTGGACGAGAGGGATTTCAGCTCGCGCACCGCCGAGGGATTTGGGACGCCGCGCTGCGGAGCAAAGACCAGTGGGCCTTGCGAGGCCGGCATGCAGGGGAGTTTGGTTGGCGGGAAATAAAGAATTTTACAAATAAAGAATTTCGCCACGCTTTTACTAGAGGGCGACGGCTGCTCGATAGGAAGAGGCAGACTCCCTAGGGTGGGCGACGGCTAGCGCATCACACACCTCTCCTTAAAATCCCTGTGTGGTGGCGGCGTGCCGTCCTCCCATCCCTCCCTTGGGCTGGCTCGCTTCTTTCTTTTTACGGCTGCTCGAGCCCACACTCCTCTCTTTTAAACTCCCTGCGTGGCGGGCGTGCCGTCCTCCCATCCCCTCCCCTCTCCCTCTGTTGGGGGTTTCCCGTTTCTGTTTTCTTTTTCGTTTACTCTAAAAGACAGCTTTACCAGCAGCCTGGGCTATCCCCCTTTGGTAGCTTAACCCCTAAACGGCGTTCCCGTCAGTACTGACGGGAACCGGGTGTTATTTTATTCCTTTGCAGGACGGCTGGTCGTAGCGACGGCCGATCCAGCAGTCGTCTCTGCGACATGGCAGTGGCCCCGGTCATGTGCAGCTGGTCCCGAGCGGCTCAGGTCCCAGATCGAATCTCGGACCCACAGATTCTAGATTCCTTTAGATTCCCTGGATTCCCGCAACAGCGATCTCTTAGCGGCGGCAAACAGAGGCGCAACTCTGCCAGCAGCGAGGAGGCTCCTGCTGCTCAGCTACCGAGGCCTGGTGGCGTCGGCTGCTGCGTGGAGAAGACAGCAGCACTGTCCGACCTCAAAACATGCACAACAAGCGGGATTTGTGACTCTGTCCTCGATTCTTCAGTCGCTCTGCCGGACGCGCTCGCTTTGTCGCGAGGGTCACCGGTGCAAGCCGTGTGGACGCCCAGAATAGCCTCCCCTGGCTTAGCTAGAGTGAGAGATATTGTGCACGTGGTCAGCCTCTACAATATATACACTAACACTTTACCTCCCAGAGCTCGTCTAGGTCCGCCACGGCCATCCTCAGCCTCCAGAGGGCCCCCGGCCGCGGCGCGGTGCGGCGGCGTCACAAATCCGACGTCAGTTCACCGGGACGCGATCGGGCGATCTGAAGCCCAACTAGGCGTATGGATTGCCCGCCCAGGGCTATCACCTGGACCCCTCAATGGACGCCTGCGGTGCCGCCCCCACGAGGTGTTGTTCACACCTGTCCAACCATTCGTGCAGCAGGAACGCGCTGTGTGTGGCTGGCAGCAAACTCAAATGACGACGGGGTGAAGCCTCGTAGCTCAACGGCAACATTGTGCATGAGGAAGGCTGATAGAAGTAGCACCAGCCACACAACCAACAGCTTCTGGAGAGTATGCGGAGCGCAAGCAGCCGGTGATCAAAGGCGTGTTGCTGTCGGTGGCAGATTGCCAGAGGGACGCCGGCGCTTCGGTGCGTGGCTTCGTCACAATTTTCCACCGCTCAACTTGGAGGCAGTGTATCTAGTAGCGTGCTACACCTATGACAGCGGACCTCAGGGGCGCCGACGTGCGACGACCGTCTGGGATCGAAAGACGAAACCGCGTCCCAGGAGCTCGTGCAGAGCGCGCTCCGGAGCTCTGTGGCGGAAAATTTGAAGGGAACGTGGTGGCTTCCCACCGCCTCTGTATGTGCCCAATAAAGTACTAACACGACCCTCGGGCAGCAGGGGGTATGTGGCGAGCGCACGGAGGCACAGTTAGGCCGCCGTGATATCGCCCTTCCGGGCACCCCGTTTCGGTAGCCGTTTAGGGGTTAACCACCTGCGACTTCACGAGCCATTTACATTGCATGCAGTGTCGCAAGTCCAAGTCAGTATCGCCCCCGGGGCGCGCCTTGTGCCGAGGAGCCCTGAGAGGAGCCCCACCGCCAATCGTCGGCCTCTAGTTGCTCTGGTAGTAGGCGGCATCGCCAAACCCCAGAAGTCACACGTCATTTGAGGTGTGCCCCGAGCCGCTGCTGCCACCCGTGCCCCGAGATGCAGGTGGGCGCGGCAGTCCCAGTCCCAGTTGGGGGTCGTCGATGTACTGGTGCCACAGCACGGGGTCCGCGGCCACAAACGCCTCCATGAGTGCGGCGACGAAGGGGAAGTCGCCCGGGTGCGAGTGGAGTCCAAACTTTGCGCCGAGCAGCGTGAGCGTGCGCAGCCACTCTGCCGCCTCGGGAAGGTTGAGGAAGCCGCGCTCGACGAGCTCGTGCCGCCGCGACACCGCGAGCATGCGGAGCCGGCTGCGCTCCTCGGAGCCGGCCGTGAGCGGCGCCGCGTGAAAGCTGAGGTGGACAAAGGCGGTGCTCAGCTGCACCACGTACAGCTCTGGCAAACGAAGGTACTCACCTGGGGGCGTTGGAGGCGGGAGGCATGTCGTGGGAGTGTCGTTTCCGCGACGGAGGTGGGGGGGGGGGGGGGGGGGGCTTACCGTCCCATCTCGCGGCGGCGCGCTGGACGCATTGGACGTAGGCGCGAAAGCGGCGAGAGTTGTCCCACGTAGTGGCGGCTGGCGCTAAGGGCGTAGACGCCCTTACTGTCGCAACCCATGCCTTGAGATCTGCGAGCTGCTTGGGTGGACCGGCGCCGGTGCTGCCAGTGGAGCCCCCGGTCATAAGCCAGTAGAGGGTGTTGTTGTCATCGGATGCCCAACGCACCCAATGTGCTTCGAGGAGGGCGGCGTGGCGTGCTGGCCGAAAGTCGGGAGCCACCGAAACTCCTCGCAAGGCTCCTCGCAAGGCCTCCATCATTGCATCAAAATCGTCGTCCCAAGGGATGATCATCTCGCGCGCATGGCACACCAGCCTCCGGAGAGCAGCCGGGCCCTCGGCCGCCAGATCGAAGGGGCCCTTGAGAGGCAGCCGTGTGCGGACGTGCCGAAGCAGCGCGGGCACGTTGACCTTGCCAAGCTGGCAGTGCACCCGTCGCCGCTTGCTCTCCTCGAGCCCCTCGTTGAGCTGTCGCTGCCGCTGCTCCTCGAGCTCTCGCTGCCGCGCCGCGGCAGCCTCTTGGGCTAGATGCCGCTCCTGTTCCTCTCGGATCTGCCGGAAGCGCTCTGCTAACTCCTCCGGCAACGCGTCGCCAGCGTCCTCCACCTCCTCGGCAGGGAAGTCGTCCTCGCTGGCGTCCTCCTCCTCCTCGGTAGCGAAATCGTCCTCGCTCTCTGACATCGTGATGCCACTCAGCGACGGGCAGCGACGGGCGCAATCAGTACTCTGCAGCGGCGCGGGAACTGCGGGTGAGGCCGAGCCCGAGGCAACCTGCCCTCGAAATTGAGACCCACCCAACCAACTCCAAAACAACATGCCGCCCGCCAAGAAGACCCCCGCCAAGAAGTCCGCCAAGAAGCCCTCGGGCGGCGAGAAGAAGCGCAAGAAGAAGCGGGTCGAGTCGTACTCGTCCTACATCTACAAGGTGCTCAAGCAGGTGCACCCCGACACGGGCATCTCCTCCAAGGCCATGTCCATCATGAACTCGTTCATCAACGACGCGTTCGAGCGCATCGCCGTCGAGGCGGGCAAGCTCGTGCGCTACAACAAGAAGGGCACCCTCTCGTCGCGCGAGATCCAGACCGCCGTCCGCCTCATCCTCCCCGGCGAGCTCGCCAAGCACGCCGTCTCGGAGGGCACCAAGGCCGTCACCAAGTACACGTCGAACGCCTAAGCGGCGCGCCACCCCCCCCGGTGTTTCTAAACACCACCCTTGTCTCCAGCGTGTGAGTGTGTTTTTCGAGTCACTGATCGCAAAACAACGAGACGTGCCCCCGAGTTCATTTTATAAACAACGAGACGTTCGGCGCGGCGGCGGTTCTCGCCCACCCCTCCGCCCTCTCCGTCGGCGTGTGAGGGTCTCCGAGAGTCACTGCGAACAGCACGCAGCATTAACCATTATAGAGCCAGAGGTCGTTTTCGGCGCGTGCACCCCCGTGATCGGCCCGTGTGTGCTCTTAATCCAATTAATTTTTGCGAAACGCTTAACAAATCCTACGAGCTACGTTTTAATTTTAAACACTGCCGCGCCGCGGCCGCGAGCGACAAGAAGAGGGGGGAGGCACTCTAACGGACTAAGTACAAGTTTAAGGTGGTCGAGACTCGAGTGGCACCAATGGCCAATATGCACTGATTCGAGGCGCGGAAAAGCACAGCCCCAATTACATCACAGCGCACGACCGCCGCGGCTCCTCGTCGACAGCGGCGGACAGCCGCTCGAGCTCGCGACGATATTCGTACCGAGCGAGCTCCGGCATGCCCGCGAGCTCTCGCAGCTCGCCGAGTGTCCCTTGCCACCGGCTCAGCACCTGCTCGCGCGCGCGGGACGACCGGGCGACCGCTAGCGGACCTTTCTCTCTCGTTGTCTCCATGTGCTGCTCGGCTCGCCTGCTCGCGCGTCGTGGGCAGCGCGTAGCCGCCTGGCGGGTCGCAGGCGCCCTCCATGCCGTAGAGCAGCCGAGAGACGCGGCCGAGGCTCCACTGCGGGTGCGGCCGTTCGACGACGCGCAGCTCGTCGCCTGCTCACGCAAACTGCTACCGTGAAGAGACGCCGTCCGCAGGCCGACGGCAGGCGCGTGGCTCCAAGCCCGTCGCCGTCGCGCAGCTCTCCCGGAGCGAGCACGCGCACGAACCAGCCCGACAGACCGGTCCGCGCGCACAAAGCTCGGACCCCGCCGCCGTTCCACGTGCGCCCGAAGCGCGCGTCGATCTTGGAGCACGGCCGGCGAGGCGAGCTCACCTGCAGCCGCAGGGTTGGCGACTCGGCTGCGGCACTCGACGCGCAGCGGCGCTTGCTGCCGCGCGGCGCGACGACGGCGAGCACGTCGCCCACGCAGAGCGAGTCGGGACAGGGCGAGTCGGCGCCGGCCGCCGCGCTCACAAAGATGTTCTCCGCAAAGTTGCCGCCTCGGAGACTGCTCTGCTCGAGCGGCTGTCGCAACGGGAGGCTGGCGGCGTCCGCCTTCAGCCGTGCGATGGTCTCGCCGGAGATCATCAGCAGCGCGCGGTCCTTCACGTCCTGCCGGCTCAGCCTGCCGGCGGCGACGCGAGTGACGCTCCAGTCAAGAAGGCCGCCGGCGTCGAAGCCAGTCTCGCTCACCGACACGGCTTCGCCGCTCGGGACCGCCGGCCTCACGTACGAGCCCTTGTCGGGCTGCCGTAAGTAGCGTCCGTGCACGACCATCGAGGGTAGCTGTCTGTCGAGGGCAGGAGCCGCGCGCTTCGGCATCGGGGCCGGCAGAGAGTGAGTTCAGGCCGAAATTGAGGCGCCCGGCGGAAAGCCAAAATGGATTTAAAGAATTCGTGCGGGCCTGTTTGTGTCTGTGTGTCGCTCGTGCGTGTCGTCATCATCTGTCTAGCGTCCACCCATACCGCGTTGGTGTCCAGTCCGAGCCTGGCTGTTCTTCACCTTTCTACCTAACCTAACCTATGAATAAATAAATAAATAAATAAAACGGGCACGCCAAACGAGGGGTGGGAGAAGGACAGGGTCCCCACCTGCACGAGCAGGATCTTGTAAGGACGATCAGGGACACAGGGGAACGGGAGCGGGGAGCGCATCGCGACACGGAGGGGGGCTGGGCAGGGTTCACCCACACGACAGGGTCCCAGGGATTCCTCTCTCGTATAGGACAGGTTGCACCCGGCGGCACGGGGGCAGGCGCGGGCCTCCTACTGGTTGCGCTCTCCTAGTTCTAACCTATGAGGAGAGGAGTATCCCGCACTGTGTGTTTGTTTTGTTTGTGTGTGTGTGGGGTGGAGTATACTGTAACGAAGCGTTCGGTCGGGCGGCCAAAGCGCGCCGAGCTCGAGTTCGCCACGGCCCCCCCGCGCCCAGCCCGCCACCAGCCTCCCGAATCGAACAGACGGTGGCTGCCTGCGCCGGTGGCGATTTCAATGACGAGCGAAGCGTATGAGAATGGCTTCCACAACGAGGCTGGACAGCAAGACGAGATGGGCGCACCCAGCCACGGCGAGGACGCGGCGACAGCGCACACCAGCGCTGTGGGGCCCGCTGAGAATGGGCATGCAGCGCATCACAACGACCTCGTGGAGAGGGCGGGTGAATCGGAGCGGGCAATGGAGGCCACCGTCGACCGGATGCAGTCAGTCCACGGCGTGCTTGGCACGGTCGTGAGAGGCCTCTAGATGCGCCTCTCCTCCATCGCACCACTTTCACCGCCGCCGAGCAGCTTTGCTGGATGGCGGCCCTACCTGGTAGGTTTTTCGCGGCGACGGCACTGTGCTCAAGTCGACGCTCTCGCCGTCTGAGGCGGCGAGGCATGTCCCGGGGGCCTGCCAGCTCCTGCTCCGGGCCATGTCGGCCGCCGAGGCGGTGGGCGCGCCAGGCGGGCTGCGCAACCTCGCTGTGCGGACAAAGAAGCACGAGCTGCTCCTCTCGTGCTCGGAGCGGTTCTCCCCGTCGGCTGGGTATGGGAGGAAAGATGCTGAGAATGCGCACTCCTGTCGTTTCGCTACTCACGCCCGACTAATGCTTATTCCGGTGTGCTGCTCGGTGCACACTCACAGCCTGCGTATTTCTAGGTTTGGGTTGCTCGTGCTGCAGGACCCCAGCCTCGTGATCGATACCAAGGTTGGGGTCCGAGATCTCATCGCCAAGCTGCGCAAGCTTGGCTGCGAGATCCCACCCGCGGCGGACCGTGCGTGGTTGCTCGAGATTTTGGAGGGCGAGATGATGCGGAGAGGGCTGTGAGTGGCGTGCATCTGTGTGTGTGGTGGCGGCGTGCCGTCCTCCCATCCCTCCCTTGAGCTGTCTCTTTTCTTTCTTTCTTTTGTTTAAATTCTTTCTCTTTAACTGTGTCTGTGAGAGAGAGGCTTGTGTATTTTATAAGAATTCTTTTTGACCTAGACTTCGATGTTGCTCACGCTCGCACGCCGCTACATAGCGGACGGCGATCCGCGGACGGCCATGAATGCCACGAGCGTGCTCGCGCGTGTCGAAGCCGAAGACAGCTTCGCGGGCGAGCACCCTTGGCTCGCTCTTCCGTGGAAGGTCCCGTCCTCCGTGGCCAGCGCCGCTGCCCGTGCCCGAGGGCCTTTATGAGACGACGGCGCAATAAGCTGTCTGTGATTCCGCTTGTTGGTGCTGTGCGTTTAAAAATTCTTTTGAATGTATACTCCAACACGTACGGCCTCAAGAGAGAGAGAGAGAGAGAGATTTTTAGAAGCCAACAAGAAATGTGTCACACAGAGTGATTTGCGCTCGGCAGCTTGTCGACTACCAGCCGTTCTCTTCTTCTTGCCTCAAGTGTCAAAGAAGCCTTACCGGGTGCCAGAGGGGGCAATTTTTCTCGTGTATCTGAGGTATAATTTAGGCCGTTTTCATCCTCGAGGGAGAGCAGGCGCAAGAGGAGAGGGGGGCGAGCTGACGGAAGACGTTGAAAGAAATTGGCCAAACTCGAGCGTGATTTCTTCTCTCTCAAGAAGAGCGCGAAAGGGTCGGACGCAGAGACGACCGCTTTCTGCTGCTCCGCGCCGATGCTGGGACACATGTCGAGATCGGACGTCGCCGAGGCGATCGCTCGCGACCTGCGCGAGGAAATGGAGGTGATCGAGTGGCAGGCCAGCGAGACTCAGCAGAGCGCTGCTGCAACCTTTTCTGATGTCGTATCGGAGGTTTTGCTCTCCACCTCGCTTCCGCTGGGCGCCGTGTGGTGGTGGGGCCCTCGAGAGCTGCTCGCGCTTCGCTCCGTCTGCCGGGCCTTCAGGCTGGAGTCGAACAAGGCGTCGGCGCCAACCGGCGAGTTCTTCCGTGCCCTGCTGCTCCGCTTTGGCATACGCGTTGAGCCGAGCTTCCACTCCGCACCCAGCCTGTACCAGCTCGCTCTCCGCGCCTTCAACGAGCGGGCCTTCGTGCATGGCCTCAAAGCTGTTGCTGCACGCGCCGTGGGCATGCCCCTCGCCGATCCTCGCGTGCAGAACCTGGTGCACGTCGCTGGCAGCTTCGCGCTGCACCGTTATCAGCACCTCTCGGAGCATGGCGCTGCGTGCGGCGGACACGGCGTTGCGCGCGAGCATGGCGCTGCAACGTGCCCCGCGGCCATCGACGCGTCGTGGGCTCCAGACGACGTCGACATTTGGGTTCCCTGGCTCGAAGGCAGCGTCGAGCCAGACGCAAGCGTCACCGGCTCTAGCGTTGGTGCCGTCCTCGCTGCCGTCGTGCCATACTGCAAGGCGTCGTTGGCGTACATGCATGGCTGCGGCGATGAGTGGTGTGTCGATCAACGCAGCGACATCAGTGGCTACTCTCTCATGGAGAACGAGGACGGGCTCGTCCAATACTCGAAGCAGGAAGCAATTTGCGCTCTGCACCGCTTCGCTGCAGACGCTGCTGGTTGGGAGTGGGGGGCCGCAGAATGTGTGGGCCTGGGACTGGCGTCGGACCAGGACAGGTGGTCCTGGGCGCGAGCCCTCGTGACCGACCAGCCTGCGGACCGGTGGCTAAAGGCGAGATCATATTCTCTGAGAAGGGTGGTGCACCTGACCCTCCGGCGAAACGACCCGCTCGACCCGTATACGTTCAAAGCAAGGCGACCATCCGGGGCCGCCGAGCGCGCGCTCTCTCGCTGGGACTTTCCGTGCAAGATCAACGTGATGCAGTACGTCAAGGCGAGCGACCCGATGAGCGGCTCGTCCCTCGCTGCCGAGGAGCTGCTTGAAGGCTTCGACATCGTCCCTGCGATGGTGGCGTATCGCGTGACGAAGGATCTGCGAGACGAGTTTGTGCTCCCTTCCATTGCAGCCCACGCAATCGCGAGCCAGACGATTCGACTCGGCCCCCACGCGTTCAAGCCTGCAAGGGACGGACCAGCGAGGGACGTAGTCGACATTGTTGAAGTGCGGAAGTACGCCGTGCAAAAGGCGCTGGAAAAGGAGGCTCGGCGCGTCGTCAAGTACATGACGAGAGGCTTCCGTGTCTCGGGCTCGGGGTGAAGCATGCTAGGAAGCATGCAGCGTCACAGCGTCAGGCGCTCCGCCATTGCTAGGGACCGCCTGCTCTCTTGAGTCTCGACTCACGCTCCCTTGTCTCCACCTACTCTTCTCTCTGTACCAAATAAAGGTAAGGTAAGTCAAGGTTAACTTCGTCTCCACACACGGACAGGGAAGGTTGTGTGGCAGTGGGGGGCGACCTCTCCGGCTCGTGAATTTGGAGCACTTGGAGTTTGCTCGTAGATTCTTTTCACGTTTTGTTGTAAAATTCTTTTCACGACCACGTGAAAATTCTTTTCACGATACGTACACGAAGTCGTAATGCCCGCCGTGGAAAACTCATCGGATTTGGGCCACTTGCCTGGGCGACCCCGGACCCTTGGCGGACGATCATGGTGCCCCCCGGGACCCCCCGTGCGGGGGCCTTCTCCGCGAGCGCGCGTCGTGCGGCGCGTGCGGCGGCTCCAAGCCCGCCAGCCTCGGGCAGCTGCGGGCCCGCTTCGAGGCCGCATCGCGCGCCCCGAAGACGCGATCGAGCCGAATATACACGGCCATCGCAGAGCAGATTGTGAATGAGCTTGCCTGCGGCGAGGGCGGTCGAGTGCACGGAGCTAAGTGCCTCGCCGTCCTCGCGGGAGCCGCCTGGCGGCTCCCGTGGTGTACCTGTGTTAGTGCCAGTGCGCGCCAGTCCCGTGCCCAGTGTTGTGCACATGGAGCACTTGGAGTGCAGTCAGTAACCTCACATCCAGGGCCGGGGAGCTGAGATGTGCGGGGCGCACTTGGAGCACTTGGAGTGCGGTCATCAGCCTCACATCCAGGACCGGGGAGCTGAGGAGCGCACCCAGTTGGCCGGATGATCGGGATCGGGTTACCGGCTGGCGGGAAAATTCTTTCGAGAGCCGAAAGGACCACGACAAACCGCGCATGGCGGACGCCCCCGCGCAACCAGCTTCCTCGGCCGCCCAAGACTCCTCCGCGGCCGCCCAGACCGAGTCTGCCGCCGCCGTGCGCCGCCTGCGCGCCGCGGCGGAGCTCATCGCCACGGGCAACACGCCCGAGTGCCCCGTCTGCCTCGAGCAGCCGTCGGCGATGGACGCGCGGATACTGCGCTGCTGCGCGGCGGTGATGTGCCGCGAGTGCGTGCCGCTCTGCAACGGCATCTGCCCGTTTTGCCGGCGCGAGTTTGCCGGCATCGGCGAGTCCTGTTCGCACGACGACGCAGAGCGCACCGCGCGTCAGCTCGAGGCGCGCCGCTTCCGAGCCCCTTCCGAGACCTCCCCAGATCTATCGCGCACCGTCTATATGAACAGCACCCGCGCAAGCGCCCGCGTGTCGCCCGGGCCTCGCAGGCGGGCGAGTCGCCCTACACGTACTCCACGCGCGAGTACAGCGCGTCAAACAACTACACCTCCACCCTCGACTACTCTGCGCACTCAGCCTTCACGGCGTCAAACGACTACTCCTCCACCCGCGACTACACCTGCACCGCGGACTACTCGTCGACGGCGGCGGCGCCCTAGATGCCATGCCCATTTCCCTGCATCCACTGGCCCGCCATGCCGCGCTCAAGAGGGGACAAAGCGACGGGCGCAGGGGCGCGTTTCGCGCCCTCCCGTGCCTACTCCCTTGCCCCATGCGCAGGTTGACTATTCCGCGACGCGCGAATACACGCCCTCCGTCGACTACGCTGCGGTCGGGCAGCGGTACACTTCCTCGGAGCCGTCCCCGCAGGGGTGACGACGCGGGTTGACTTCGTGAGTGAGTGTGAGTGGGAGGGCACGTAAGAGGGTTTGAATCGACAAAGCAACACACACAGCTCTGGCCCGGACCTGGCTGCTCTGGCCAGGAAGCAATGGGAGTTGGGACAGGCACAGCCAGTGTGTCCCGGCTCCCGACGTACCACTACGACCAGACGCGAGACGGCAGCGACGGAGACGCAAGAGAGAACGGCGGATACAACGCAAACACCCGCCACAGATTGCGAGAAGTGTCGCCACGGGCCTATCGGGACGCGGCGCACAAAATGACACACGCACGCAACGCTCCGCCAGGGAACGGCGCCCAGCACCGCTGGGGACCTGGGAGACGCCGGCAAGTCTCAGGGGAAGCATCCGGCCGGTTTGGATCACGTCACGTCGATGGCCCTCGGCTTTGGCGAGCCCCAAAACGTAAACAGTCGCGTGCAGAGAAAGTCGCCGAGGACGGTCGCCTCGCCTGACTCGCCGCCCTGCGCCTCGCTCGCGCTGACCGAGCCTGCGATGCGCTCGCCATCAAACAAACCGTCGAAGCGGATCGAGTGCGGCGGAGTTGCGAGCGTCACATCGATGACGACGCGACGGTTCCCGTCCACCGCCGCCGGATCGTCGGTCTCCGTCACCGCCCACCCGCCCGCGGTGCAGTCCATGTACGGCACCTCGATACCGCCAGCCTCATCGCTGTCGCCCTCGAGCAGCCGCAGCCGCTTGGGCATGCCCTCGCGCGCTCCGGGCACCCGTGGGGTCAGGTTCACCTTCCACACGCCGGCGAGGCTGCCGTGCGCGCCCAAATGGCTGGATGAGAGCCGAGCATGCCGTGCCGATCGCAGCCGACAAGCGTGGCGGCTTAGCGCGAGCATTCTTCCGGGCGGGAAAAGTTTTTTTTGTTGCTTCAACTGTGTGATTACACATCCCCGCCAGCCAGCTTGCGCAGCACCCTTCAAGAGCGTTGGCATCGGCACCGTCTGCGAGCGGTGCGCAGAGGGTGGGGGCTGGCTGCAGGAGCAGGACCAGGAAGAGTGCCAACAGCAACAGGCTCCAACAGGGTCCAACGCATGCCGAGGTGCCGAGGGTTGGCGACAAAAACACTCTTCGCATGTACATTTCGGTGTTCAGGCAAAAAGCTCTCACCTCCCACCGCCACTATGACCATAGCCGGTCGTTGACCTCGTCAGCAGCGGCGGCAGTGCAAAGGAAGCTGGCGACAAATGGCCGCAATAGAGTGCGTAGCCGGCTAGGGTCGCGATCGTCCGCAGCACGACGAGCCACTGCCATACCGAGAGCGCGTCCTTGGACAGCCGCATCGAGAGGAACGGGCCGTCGTCGCCCTCCGCCTCGAAGCCCATCGGCACTGGGGCGCCCGGGAAAGTGGTGTTGCCGCGAGGGAAGAAGAAGAGCCGTGGATCGTCGCCGGCACTCTCGAGCAGTGAGCGGAGCGCCGGGAGGCGCTCCTCGTGCCCAATCTCGAGCGCCACGTCGAGCGGTAGCTCGAGGGCCAGCAGCAGCACCGCGGCAAAGAAACAGCCGCAAACGCCCGCCGCGACGCTGAGTGTGCCCGCCGGAGCGCAGCAGACGGCGTCGGCCGCACCGAGGAAGGCGAGCAGCGCGAGCCAGAGCAGCGCCGCCTGCAGGTTGATCGCGAGCGGCGCGTACGCCAGGAAGGGCGAAAGTTCGTCGCTGCCGCTGCCAACCGGCAGGGCCAGCGCCTGCAGCAGGGAGGCGCCCGCCAGCACACCCTGGTGTGGCAGGGAGGAGCGAGGTGAGACGATCGCTCCCACTTGCGTGTGTGCGACGCGCTGGGCTGACTAGACATCCTCGTTCAGGCATGGGCCTCTCCTCAGCAGTAGAGCCCTTTGCACCTGCGCGGCATAGCACGTCGCGCCGATGACAGCGCTCGTGACCTGCGCGCTCGCAGTGGGCGCGTCTCCCGCGGCGATACGACGGCGCGCCGCCTCGTTGACCTCCGCAGCCGCCGCCGCGCTGAGCTTACGAAAGGAAAGCGAGTCTGCTGTCTGCATGTATGCGGGAGCGGCACCTGCAAAGAGCAGCGTGAGGCCGCGTGAGGGAGACATCGGCGGAGGCTGCAGTGCTTGCCCCATAGAATACGCTTGTCGGAAAGTAAAGGCGGCCGCTGGGCTGAACTGGCGTCTCCTCAGATGTCTCTATGACGAAGTGGGTGTCTCACCGTCCTCGAGGAAGAGAGGCTGCGAGCGGGGAGGCGCCGGCGCCTCGCACCCCGTCGGCCACACGTCGGCCCGGTCCACCGTCAGCTGTGAGAGCAGCAGCTGCTGCTCCGACTGCAGCAGCAGCCCGGATCCTCGCGGCGCCGGGATTCGAGCTGCCAACTTGCCACGCCGCTGCGCGCGCGAGGGACTGCTCTGGCTTTGGAGCGGTTGCGGTCGCGGGTCCTCGCCGGCATCCTCGGGGGCCGGCGCGTCGCCCTCGGCGGTCTCGGGTTCAGGCGCCACGACGGGGCGGCGCCGGCGCGAAGGCCTCGGCGCGGCGTCCGCGTTGGGGGTGTCCAACTGCTCCGCCATGGGGCCGTAACAGACGATCAAATCATCCGAAACTGCTCTCTCTCTTTATTGCAAATCCGCCGGCCCCTAAATGGTAAAAAAGAAAATCCGTTCGAGTGCTGGATAGCGGCCCGTAAAGCCGGGAGTCACGCGGCGCTGCGTAAAAAGGCCGAATTCTGTGCCCCCCCCCCCCCCGACCTCTTCCCCTCGATATGCTCGCGGCCAGCGCGATCACGACGGTTGCTCAGGCAGAGCTCTACCTGGGCATGCCAAAGGACACCGCCACCGTGCAGACGATGGAGCGCATGAAGGCCGCTGGAGAGATCATGGAGTGCGGCGGCCCGGCGCTCTGCGGCGTGGTTGCATTGGAGTCCGGCTATGGCGAAGGCTACTATGCGGCGGAGACGACGACGGTGCACGGCCTGTGGCCCGAGACCCCTTCCTACGGCACGTCAATTTGTGCGGCAGTTGGCGATACGGCCGAGGTGCCGGACTACGCATGGGTGAAGGTGAGCCTTCCGTCGGAAGAGCCTCCCCTTAAAACCGCGCCCCTAATCCACCATGAGCCCGGCCATCCCGCTCTTTGCAGGCGAATGCCCCCTGCTACGACTTTCCTCCCACGCCGGATGCCGACGGCGAGGCGCACCAACTCGACTTTGTGAACCACGAGTGGGGCAAGCCTAGAATGCCCCTCTCTGGAATCGGTTGCACTCCACGCCCACGGCCCTCAGCCTTCGACTCCAGTACACTGCTGTCGCTTTGAGCTGTGGTCGCTCTGCCCTCTCTCCAGGTGGACAAAGCACGGGTACTGCTCCGGAGCGGATGACGCCGCCGACTACTTCAACACCATCTGCACCAAGACGGCGGATCCGCTCTCCATCATGAAGGGCGTGCGCGACACCGGAGGCAGTTTGCTGGAGATGAAGGACGCAGTCGAGGTGATGTGCATTTCCAAAGCCTCCACGTCCCTAGATAGCTGCACTTGGCGAGAGCCTCGCCACGCAATTCACGTTCCGCCGCTCTCCACGATCGCTTCCCGACCCCGCGTGTCCACCCCCAACCAGGCGGCTGGCTACGGCGCCTCCTCCATGCAGCTGTTTGACAGCAAGATCATGGATCTAGCATGGACGCTCTCGGAAGCCTTCCTTTAGGGGTCTTCTCCGTCGACACCTACAAGTGCGACGAAAATGGATTCCCGGATACCACAGACGACCAGGAGGGGTGCACATCCCAGCTCTTCATGTCGGCGTGCGCCGACTCGGACTACCAGTGGCGCGCACCTTCACCGCGGATGCAGCCCCCACATCATCGCACCCGCGACCCCGGCCCCGTGGAGTGCAGGCACCTGGTTCCGGTGGACAAGTTCGCCGAAACGTGTGGCACTTGGTTCGTCCCACCGTTTCCGCCACCCGTCCCCCCCTCTCCTGCGCCTCCTCCCGCCCCCTCTCCTCCACCGTGCGTCGATTGCTCTCGCCGTCGCAAGATGCTCTTCTCGAGCCTCCCATGCTGCGCGCCCCCCGAGGGCGAGTGCGTGCCAGGTCAGCACGGCCCGCCGTGCGAGGGAAACGAAGAGTGCCTCGTGTACACGGACTGCCTCCGCTGCGCCGGGTCTGGGTTCTGCACGGACGTGCCGCTCATGTTCTGAGGGCTCATGGTCGACGCGCCTGGCTGGGGTGCGGGGCCGCCCGCGCAGCGCGAAGCGGGAGGGAGGGGGCGCGGGGGAGGGGGCCTGGGCGGGAGAAGGGGCGACGGAATCGGAGCCTCTGCGAGATAGCACAGGCTACAGCAGCCGCGCGCGGCGCGGGAAGCTAGGGGCGCGACGGCCGCGCGGCCGAGGGGGTGAGAGGGCGTCGTGTAGCACAGCCCCTTGGGCCAAGCAAAAGCAAACGTATTTCGCTTCTTTTTTTCGCTGTGCCTTTTGTGGTGTAGTCCGTGCCAGTTTGGGAGAGAGAGATTTTTAGCAATACCAAACAAATCTAACACTCACACGTCGGAGCCCTGTTCACGCGCGCGCGAGACGTGCAGACAGGGTTGCCAGGTGAGAGCGAATGGCGCGGTTCACGCCTCGCACAACATGTTTGTCAGTTTGGAGACCACACACACACACACACACACTTTGATTGATTGATGGGAAGGCGAAACACAGTCCGACCAACGACTGGGACACCAACGCGGTATGGGTGGACGCAGGACGGGCGATGGCGGTCACTTTGGAGACCTTCGAGTTTTGGTGCAGTCTTTTTTTTTGCCGAGCTCGGGCTCCTCGCGTTGCGTGCTCCCTCGCTTATCCCTGGGCGGCAACCCATGCCGAAGTCCGAGAAGAAGAAGAAGGCGGCCCAGCCCGAGGAGGAGGAGGACGGCCGCTGGCTCACGCGGGCGCGCTACAAGCGGATCGGCAAGCTGCTCAAGCCGTGGGGAAAGCCGCCGACCGGGACGACCTTCTGGGTGCAGCTCCTCACCACGGCGGCGGTCATCATCATCTCGATCTTCAAGGGCGTCGACTCGTCGGTCGAGATCGTGCTCTCGTACGGCGTCCCCAACTACGAGCCGCGCCGCCAGGACCCGATGTCGCTCGCGTACGGGATCGTCTTTCTGCTGACGGGCGTCGTGGTCGGCATCGGGTACCTCTTCCTCCGCTTCCAGGAGTGGCAGACGCGGAGGGAGTACGAGAAGGCGGCGGCGGAGAGGGCCGCCGAGGAGGCCGACGCGGCGGCGGCGCAAGCCAAGGCCGCGCCCGCCAAGGCCCCGTCGAAGCAGACGCGTGGCGGCGGCGGCGGCGGCGGCGGCGGCGGCGTCGGCGGCGGCGGCGGCGGCGCAGTTTCTGAGGGCGGCGGCGGCGGCGGCGGCAGCGGCGGCGGTGAGTCGCCGATGTCGCTGCTCGCTCGCGAGGGCGAGAAGGAGCTCCAGGCGGCTGCAGCACCGCCCTCCCCGCGCACTTGTGCCCTCGTGCTGGTGGGGGTGGGGGTGGTGGTGGTGGGTGGTGGTGGTGGGTGTGTGGGTGCGCGCGCGCGCGCGCGCGTGTGTGTGTGGAGGCCCGCGCCCCGCACTAGTTGGCGACGCTCACTCCCTCCAGCCCTCCCCTCCTCTCGCCTGCTTTGCCCACACGCCCCGGCCCCCCCTTGGGGCCCACAGGCGGCGCTGCAAAAGGTGCAGGCCGACATGGAGTCGCAGGGGTGCAGCCGCGAGGAGATCGGCTCGCAGCTCGCGTCTGTGCGCGAGTCGCACGCGGCGTACATGCGCCAGCAGCGGCAGATGCTGCAGGAGCGCGAGGAGGTGTACAAGGAGGCGATAGCAGAGGGCCTCACGCCCGAGGCTGCAAAGGCCCGCGTGCAGGCGTCCGCCTCTGCTAGTACTCGTGTGCTCACACCACTACACTGCCGGGGGGGGTGCCCGGGCCATGATGTGCGTGTCTGTGCGTGTGTGGGACAGACGCTGGTGTCCTATGCGCGGGGCTACTTGCGGGGGACCCCCCCCCCCCCCCCTCAGGCGTGCGCCCAGTGGCAGCAGCAGATGCAGCGGCTGCAGGCAAAGCACCAGGCGGCGATGCAAAAGACGCACCACGAGGCCGAGGCGGCGGGCGTTTCGCCCGCAGAGATCAAGCGCCGCCTCGAGGCGCAGCGGCGGCTGCAGCAGGCCGAGGCCGAGGCGCGGCAGCCTAGAAGCGGAACACGTATTCTTGTACTCCAACCAGCGCTCGAGAGGACACGTACTCAACCTTATTCGACCGTATCCCGCTGTACTCCGCTGCATTCGTGCCCCTCGTATTCGCACGGTGCTCTGAATGCTCTGCACGATCCCGTCCTCCCGCCCTCATGTTAGCGGATTCGGCCCGTAGGCGTGGCAGCAAAAGATGCGCGCGCGGCAGCAGGCGGCTTCGGAGGCGGCCGAGAAGGGCCAGTCGGCGGCGGAGGTGGAGAAGGCAGTCAAGGCGGTGACGCGCGCGCAGGACGCGGCGTGGGCGGAGCGCGAGGCGGCGCTGCTGGCGGCGGAGGGCGTGGCGCGGCGGGAGGCGGCGGAGGCGGCGCGGCAGATCGCGGACGCCAGCCTATCTCCTGAGATCCGGCGGATCCTCCTCGCGCGTGTGCGGATCGGAGGCAGTCAGCGCACGGGCGGGACCACGTCCGGAAGACAGAGGGACGTCCGCGTGCGGACGCGCGTCTCTACTCTCGATAGGGCTCAGCGCCCGTCCGGACCTCAACGGGCGGGAAGGCGTGGCCAAGATGTGGGTGGTTGAGAAGAGCCGCTTTGCGGTGCTCGTGGACGGCCAAGGGGCAAAGGCGGCCGAGCAGCGTTGAGGCCGAGCAGCCTTGAGAGGCGTGTGAGCAGCGTCTCTTCACACCCGCTGCTTGTGAGTAGGCGGCCGAGCAGCTCCTCCTCAAGGCTGCAACCCGTAGAAGCGGAGTGCGTGTTCTTGTCTCCCAGCTAGCGCTCGAGAGGAGACGTCGCCTCTGCACAATGCCGTCTTCCCGCCCCGATGTTTGTGTTTTCAGCTCGTAGGCGGCAAACTTGACTGTGTTGCAGCCGGCCGGCGGAGGAGGAGGCGGCAGTGGTGCGGCGGCGGAGGAGGAGGAGCCGCCGCCGCTCGAGTGACGCGGCGGCGGCAGCGGGCGGCGGGGGGGGGGGGGGGGGGTCTGGGCTGCTCCGGTTCCGATTCCGGGCTCCTGTTCCGGTCTCGCCGCCCTCTCGAGGGGAAGAAGGGGCGCCGGCGGGCTGGCGCTGGCGAGCGCGCGGGGCTGGCAGGCAGGCGCGGTGCCCGGCGAGCTGGGTTTGGGCGGGGGTGGGGGGGATGGGGGGGATGGGGGGTGGAGAGGTACAGATGCGCACAGAGCCGTCCGGCTCCACTTCGCATGCTCGGGTTGCCGCGTCTTGCACCTCCAGTTTGAGGCGGGATCGAGGCTGGTGTGATCCGTTGGCGCCATACGGTGTACGTACCACACAACACACGCTTTTTTTCGGAGAGAAAGGCGCCCAGCGCCACACCGACACGTCACACGCCTCAAAGCCGTATACACACCGAGGACATACTTTGCACCGCGACCGCGAGAGCGAGAGGAGATCAGGGCGCACACACCCGCGACAACCCAACGCTCACTCAACACACACACACACACACACACACACACACACACACACACACGCACGCACACACACACACACACACACACACACACACAACCGCATGCGCGCGTCAGTCAGTCGCTCCGCCACGAAGTAAACACACACGCAGCGCCTCCTCCCTCCCCCCCCTCCTTCTGCCCCTTCCTCCTCTCCCTCCCCCCCCCCGCGGCCTCGCCACCCCGCCACCGCCACGCCGCCGCACCGCCACCGCCGCCGCCCATCCGCCGGCGACGAGACCGCCGGCTACCGAGACCGCAAAGGCCGAGCCCTCCACGCTGCGCCAGCCCAGCCCCGGCCGCCGGGCTGGCGCCGCCGCGCTAGCGCTGCAGCAAGAGGCCGAGGAGGAGGGAGAGGAGGAGGGCAACCACCTGCGGCGGGGCAGGGAGGAGGCAGCCTCGACGACGAGTTGAGATGACACTGAGCACTCGGCCGATTGGCCGGCCGTGCGCAGCCAGGTGGCAGGGGCATACCGGTGGCTAGCTAACGTACTAGCCACGCACCGCCGCGGCCTTGTACCCCACGTCGCTCTCCTTGACGTTGTCGCCGCGGCCGGCGAGGGAGAGGATGCCCGTGATGAGAGCGACAAAGGCAGCCTGGCTCAGGAGGGGAGATGTGGGGAGATGTGGGGAGATGTGGGGAGATCTGGGGAGGGATCTCCCTAACAGGAGGCGGACTGCGAGTCTAGACTTTTCGGAACCTTCTCGGAACCTTCTCGGAACCTTCTCTACTGGCTAGGAGGAGGCGGTTGCGAGCCTGCTGTGCCGCCGCCGCGCCGAGCCAGCGGTGGGGCGCGAGCAGCGCCGCACGCTTGGCAGGAGGCACGAGGGGGAGAGCAAAGGCGGCGGCACCCCCCGTCGCCTGCAGCAGAGAGGGGCAAGAGGTTGCACGAGGGCGTGTGTGGCTCGGGGCCTTTCGTCCGGGGTCCGTCGCGTCGCGTCGCATGGAGGAGGTGAGGTAAGGAAAGGTACACTTCTCCACGGGACACGCGAGGTGGTGGGGGAAGGGCCAGGCTAGTCCCTCGCGGCTACACGTCTAGACGACAGGAGCCCCACGGCATTCAAAGTACAAGGCCCGGTGCGCGTGGGTGAGCGGTGTGTGCGTGTGTGTGTGTGTGTGTGTGTGTGTGTGTGTGTGTGTGTGTGTGCGTGCGTGCGTGCGTGCGTGCGCGCGCGCGTGCGTGCGTGCGTGCGTGTGTGTGTGTGTGTGTGCTGTGTGTGTGTGTGTGTGTGTGTGTGTGTGTGTGTGTGTGTGTGTGTGTGTGTGTGTGTGTGTGTGTGTGTGTGTGTGTGTGTGTGTGTGTGCATGCCTGGAGGAGGAAGAGAGCGAGCGCGACGATCCCGACCCATGAGTGCGCCGACTGGAAGTGGACCGCCCACCCCTTCGCCACCTGATGACAGGTAGGTTGATCAGAAACAAGAAGCTCGCATCGCAGGCCAGTGAGGGGTGTGAGAGGCGGACCTAAGGAAGTTCACACGCCGTGAAGAGACGCCGGTCGCAGTCTCCTCCGAGGGCCCGGACTGGCCCTTGTGGCCGCCTGTGCCGCTGCGCCGTCCTCGTGGACGAGCCACATGTCGATGACGCCGAGCAGGCCCGTCAGCGCCGCGACTCCCATCAGCACTCCGTGGAAGACCTTGACCTGGCGGTGGGTGAAGCCGAGCAGGTGCTCGTACGACCGCCACGCCGCCGCGGCGACGGGCGACAGGAAGCCAAAGGCGAGCGTCATGAGGAAGGGGTGGAGAGGGAAGGTCCGCCACGTCAGCAGCGGTGCCTCGGGAGAGAGGGCCTTCTTCAGCGTGTGCCACATCATCGCCAAGAGCGCCACGGCAGCAACATGAGTGCCGACTGCTGAGATGAGGACCCCGGGCCGCTTGAACGGGCCGGCGGACGCAACGTCGGGAATCTTGCCTGCGGTCAGCGAGGTGCGCTCGACGTCGTCCGAGCTGTCCTCCGCCATCAGGTTTCGTTGAGCACTGGGCGAGGAGTCTTGGAGCATGTCAACTAAGGCGCGGAATGAAGAAAACGGACGCCAACCGGGGCGCGCGACTTCTTCTTATGCGCCGCTCAACGATACTATGGAGAGTTCACGTCAACAGCAAACGACAGCGACAGTGACACCTACCTGTCCCCTGTCACCAGCTTAGGTTAGGTAAGGTAAGAAGGTGAAAAGAACAGAGAGAGCAGGTGTTCTTGCATTTTTGCTCCCGGCTCGGGGAGCAAGCAAGCCCACTCAACCCCAAGTACTCACCATTCTTACAGTGGTGTAGCTTGTGCAGAGGCTGCAGCCTCTGCTGGGGCGGAATGCGCGGGGTTTTCGGCGCGATGCCCTCGGCGAGTACACGCTACTGCTGTGCCGCACGCTCTCCTGCGCGCGCGTGACGTGTGGGACGCGTGCGCTGCGCTCAAACGTCGCGATTTGGCGATAGGCGCTCGAGCCGGCGCACAGCGGGCGGGTGCGCCGCGCAGGGGGGGTCGGAGGGGTGCGAGAGGGGGCGTGGGTCGGGCGCGCACCGGCTGGCTCCGGGAGCGGCCGTCACGTCGAGGAGTGGGGCTGTCGGCGGCTCGAGCGCCGAGGCGAGCCGCTCTGCTGCGCCGCCGACAGCCCCTCTTCCGAGCCGGCGCGTGGAGGCGAGCCGCGGCCGGTGTCGCTGGTGCGGGGGCGGCGAGGGTTCATCGGCCGGCAGCGAGAGCGACCGTCATGAATCGCGCCACCAAGACCGCGCGGCACGTACGCGCACTTGCCGGCCTCGAGGCGCGCTCTCCTTGCGCGGCATGCCCTGTGTGTGTCAGCGCTTCGCCTCGGAGCCGCTCGACTGTACGAGAGTCGGGCTCCGGCCCTCGGTACCACGGCAGCGACGGCGTGCTCCCTTCCGGCCGCGACAGGCGCGAGGCGGGTGGCGGTGCGGCGGCTGCTGATGCTGCTGCCGCGCAGAGCTGTCGTGCACCCGAGAAGTGGCACACAGCTCGAAGGCGGCGTCGGCGACCGCCGCGCTGGCTCTCTCTCCTCGGCAGACGCCGCGTCGCTTCTCGGCGGCGGCAGCTGCTTCGCCGCGAGAGTAGCGAGGCGACGCACGCGCCTCCGCTCTGCGGCAGCAGCCTCTAGCGAACGCGCCGGCATAGCGCCGGGCCGGGCGAGGGCGAGCCGAGAAACACGTTGTGACGGCCCTCGTGTGAATCGCTTATCCGGCGCTCGAGGAAATAACACGGTTCGGGCTTCAAGTTACTTCGAACCCTGTGACGGCGAAAGAAAACGGAGGAAAACGCGAGAAAAGAGAGAAGGGCTATTGCTCAAACTCTCTCTGAGAAGAATAGGTGTGCTGCGCTGTAGCGGCGACAGGCGACGGCAAAAATGCAAGCCCCGCCCCTGGCCACTGTATATTATTTTTGCTTGGGGCGGACATCATGACGGGGTAGGTAGGGTAGGGTCTGGGCCCTCCCGTCGGGTTTTTCCCTCTCTCACGCCGGAATTTTCACAGCAGAAAAAGAATTTTTCCGTCCAAATCACGATGTCAACCCTCCCCAAGTCGTTGATCTGGTGCTTGTAGGGCTTGAGAGTGGCCTGCCATGTCACAGGAAGGACTGTGGTTGCAGGATAGTACCACCAGCCATCACTTTAGTTGGTATAGTACCCCACCTTCACCCAGCCCGTGATTTCTTTTTTAGTTTCCCATAAGTAAGGTAGGTAGGTAGGTAGGTAGGTAGGGGCAGGGCAGGGGCCGGTCAGGTTTTTCCAGAATTTCATCATGATGTCCGCCCCAAGCAAAAATAAACGCCACCTGGAGAGAGAGAGATTTTTAGCAATACCAAACAACTCTAACACTCACACGTAATTTGGGGCCTGGAGCCCTGTTCACGCGCGCGCGAGACGTGCAGACAGGGTTGCCAGGTGAGAGCGAATGGCGCGGTTCACGCCTCGCACAACAGAGAGAGAGATGCGCTCTGCATGGTGGGACATAAAAGAGAGCGAGTACTTGGGCGAGTAGGCCGTGCGGTCAACGCTGCCGCGCGCGACTTTGCGCGCGAGGCGGCGCAGCTTGAGAACGGCGGTGGGCGAGAAGCCGCCGCCGAACGTCTCGTGGAGCAGCAGGTTGAAGTTGTTGCGCTTGACAAAGATCGCGTCGTGGTAGAAACCGCGATGCGCCTTGACGTAGCCGTGGCCGGTCTTGTGGGACAAGGGTTGTTTTGTTTGTTCAGATCTGACGTAGGCTCCACAGGAGAAGAAAGAAAGCGCAATGGGACTGTTGAAACCATTTCCGACTCTAGTTTTCGTAGGGTACTCACGGATACCTCTCCTAAGCCCCTTCCTGTCGTGTGCCCTCGCGCACATCGCATGCGGTCTTCACTCAGCCTCCGCTGCTGTGAATGCCAAACTTGCACTTCAGCTGGTTACGATTTTGCCGCCTTCTTTGCGACCGAGCCGTGTCCAGCGACGCTGCCGGCACGGCTTATAAGCTCCAGATGGGATTATTCGACCGTCTCTTCGGCCGCGGCGGCCAGGCGGAGGTCACCACCGACACGAGCGGCGGCATGCCTTCGCGTCCCTCTCGCGCCGCTGCTGCGGAAGCGGCTGTCGAGCCCTCGACCGTGCACAAGCAGAAGCGCAAAATTGCGGCCGAGAGCTCGCCGCGGAAGAAGGCGGCATCCAAGCCGTCGCCGCCAGAGCTGGCGCCGACGGGCGAGACGTGCGTCGTCTGCTGCACCGAGTCGGTCGAGCTCGCCGCCGGCGTCAAGTGCCCGGCGGGTCACTTCTCGTGCGGCAGCTGCGCCGAGCGGCTGCTCGGCCTGTCGATCGCGCGCGACCCGGCGGCGGTCGACACGCACGAGAAGGAGCAGCGGTGCTACCACGTCAAGTGCGCGGCGCCCGACTTCAGCTGCGGCGCGGCGTTCGGGCTGAAGGAGCTCGCGGCCGCGATGCCGGCCGCCGCGTTCGACGCGCTGCAGGCGAAGAATGTCGAGCTCGCCGTCCACCTGCGGCTTCCCGACGCGGTCAAGGAGCACCTCGCGGCGGCGGCGGCGTCGACCGGCCCGCAGACGACGGCGCAGTACGAGGCCGACTTGCGCGCCGCCTTCCGCCGCCCCGACGGCACGTTCCGCGACGAGCAGGGCTGCCGCGTCAAGCAGTGCCGCGAGTGCGGCTTCGGCCCCGTCCTCAAGATCAATTGCGACGACATGACGGCGCACCACGGCGACGTCGTCCGCGACCGCCGCGACGGCTCGGTCGTGTACCGCCAGGACATGTCGTGCGGCCACTGTGGCCACCTCAACCGCAGCAGATGGACGCAGTGGCCCGACTGGACGGGCGAGCGCGTCCTCGGCGCCGTGCCGCGGGTGCCGCGGGCCGAGCCGCCCGCGTCGACGGATGAGGACGAGGACGAGGACGAGGACGACGACGAGGACGACGACGACGACGACGACGACGACGACGACGACGACGACGACGACGACGACGAGGAGGAGGAGGAGGAGGAGGAGGAGGCGAGCGACGAGGAGGAGGAGGCGGAGGACGGCAGCGAGGGCGAGAGCGAGGAGGAGCGAGAGGAGGGCAGCGTGCGGCCGCTGGCCGTCGGCGACCGCGTGCGTGTGCGCCGCAGCGTGACCTCGCCGCGCTACGGCTGGGGCGGCATCACCCACGAGAGCGTCGGCACGCTGACCTCCACCGACAACCCGAACCGCGTCGTGGTCGATTTCCCGAGGCGCGGCTCCCGATGGAGGGCCGAGCTCCGCGAGCTCGAGCGCGTGGCGCCGCGGGAGCTCGCCGTTGGCGACCACGTCCGCGTCCGCCGCACCGTCCACCGCCCGCGGTTCGAGTGGGGCGGCGTCACCCATGAGGACGTCGGCAGGCTGCTCTCGGTCGACCGCAGCCGCGGCCCCGATGGCATCACCGCGACGGTTCGCTTCCCCAGCTTCCCCTCGTGGAACGCCGCCGTCGAGGAGCTCGAGCACGCTGACGGCGCCGAGGCGCCGCCGGCGCCGCGCCGCCCGGTGGAGGACCGCGCGCGCAGCCGCGGCCTCCTCGACGAGTACGCGCAGCTCATCGGAATGGGCTTCGAAGCCGAGGTGTCGCTCCAGGCGCTCGTGCGCGCAGCGCGCAACCACCGCGACGCCGAGCGTCGCGTCGCAACCGCCGTGGGGACCCTCCTCGGCGCGTGAGGGCGAGGAGGTGAGCGAGGGGGTAGCCCAAAGACGGGGGGGGGGCGGGCCTCACCCGGGGCTCATGAGTCTGCCATCACCGCAGGCGGCGCCGAGCGGCCGCTGCTGACGCGCAGCGACGCCGAGCGGCATGTGGGCGACAGGAGCGCGGCGGGAGCGAGAAGGGCAGATATGAGGTAGACGGACATGAGCCAGGCGTGGCGTGCTCGAAGAGCTCGAGTGGAGCAGGTGCTCGCCTTCGAGCGCTCGAGCCAGGCGGTGCTCGAGCGGCGGTGTGCTTTATAGTGCTCGGCGGGGAGCTCGCTCGTCGCTGGATTCGGGTCTACTTTTTCGGTAGCATAAAGATATCTTGCGTGCGTACGTACGCGTGCATACTCTACCGAGGCAAGCCTCGTCACCGACACCGTACACGACTTACACGTCGCCTCCCCGTGTTTGTACGGCCTGGCGTTTGTGCCGCAGATTGTGCCCCGTTTCGCGTTTGTGCCGCGTCCCCGAGTTCATTTTACAATAACGAAAGGAAAGCCACAGGCTGTCTAGCCGTGTAGCGTGTGGGCGGTCCAGAACGACACAATGCTGAATCCGCACACGAACTATACGTTGTGGGGGGGTCTGCGAGTTCTATGATAAACCCATGCATCCTCTCCGTCGCTACTCCGTACACCTCTGTCCTCTCTCACACTCTCTCGCCAAAAATCCGTCATCTGGGAGAGATCTGACGCCGCCGGGCCGCGCGCCATCTGGGGACCTGCTCACGCAAGCCTGCCGAGAAGGAGCAGCGTGCCGATGTTGACAGTGCACTCAGGGGGCTGCCGCCTCCTTGTCGACCTCGTCCTGCGCCGCGAGCTGGTGACACCGCGCGCCCCGGATCTCCCGCGAGTGGCGGGTCTCACGCCACCCAGTGTCCAAGCCCCGCTTGCACACGGTATATACGTCACTATCCGCCGACGCGCTGGAAGCGCTCATCTTCGAGGTGATTGAAGAGGAGCGCGACCCGGAGCTGACGGCAAAGGACATTCGGCACATTGCAGAGCAGAAGCTGGGGCTCCCGCGCGACGCCCTCTTTCCACGCAACCAGGAGATCTGCAGAGTCGTCAAACCAAAGGTGCGGATGATGCCCACGTTGCGCCCCTCTGCCATCCGGCGCGTCAAGTTCTGCCGCGTCGCACAACGACCCTCCTAGCTCCTACGCTGCCCCCGCCCTGAGCAAGTCGGCGCCGCCCAGCACCCTCTCCGCCTCGTCGACGCGCGTCAGCTCCCAGCTGTAGTCGAAGCACGAGACGGCGCGCCCGCTGGCGAGGCCTCGGGACGGTCCGCCGTCGGCGCCGTACTGCACGAGCCTGAGCGGTCGAGGGAAGCGTCGGTGGGACGATCCGACAGTGGCCGCTGTCGGGAGGCCGCGAGAGGGCCTGTTCCTTGCCCGCACCTCCGCCACCCCGCCGCCCGGCCGCCTCCTGCTCACACCCACGATCTGAGAAGAGACGCTGCTGGCACCTCCGCCACCCCGCGCCGCCCGGCCGCTGCCTCGGCGAAAAGCGCGTGACAGACTCGACAAGGCTCACCTGTCAAACAGATGCCTGGGATGCGGCGCTCTCTTGATATCGACTCGTCGCGGCCGCCGGCGAGGATCACCTCCTCTGCGGCGTCGGGCGAGGAGCGCACCCTCTGCTCGAGCAGCTCCGAGGTCAGGAAGTCGCCTGGAGCGCAGTCGCGTCAATGAGCAGCAAGAGATCTGATTTGGCACCAGCGTCGCTCGGTGGCAAGGTGCTGGACGAGGCGCTATGCGCTGCGCCATGCGCCCTGGACCCAGATGTCGAATGCGAGGATAACGCTTCGGCGGCGGCGGCGGCAGAGCTCGACACTCTGTGGCACTCACTCCCCTCACCGATGCACGGCCAGTGTGCGCCATTTTTTGGGAGCGGACCAGGGCGTGATGAGACACTGGCGGGCGTTGGGGCACTTGCGGCTTGCCGCCCCTCCCTCCTTTTCAGGGTGCTGTGTGGTATGGTGGGGCGAGGAAGGTGGTGAGGAGGAGGAGAGCGGCGGCGCCGATGCGTGTGGTCTTGAACAGTGCTCGCCTCCCGCGGCTGGCTCTGACCGCTGCCACGTCACGGTCAGCTCGACCGATGCGCCACCGACGCCCCCTCCACCGCTCCCGCCGCCGCTCCGCCCGCCGCCCGCGCCGCCTACACTCGAGGAGGGGGCGTGCCATGCCAGACCCTCAAAGTGAGAGGCCTCTCCCGTGGAGAAGCTCAAGCACGCGAAACCCCGCACCTCGGCTAGATCTCGGCCGCGCCGCGGCTTATCTCGGCCACGTCGAGGCCGCCTCGACCGCACCTCGGCCACATCTCGGCTAGACCTCGGCCGTATCTCGCGGCTAGCGATGAGGCTCGCCTCCATCAGGCTCAAAGTCGATGCGAAGCCGCCCGTGAGGCGCGTCCGGAGGCGTCGCAAACACGGATGCGGCGACGGAGCCGAGGTCGCCGAGGAACGCCGCGGCCTCCTGCGCCCCGTTGAAGGCGCGGTCCTGCACGCAGGCGCCCGTCCCGTCGCGCGTCCACCGCAGCAGATATCGCAGCGTCTCGTCCCTCCGCAGGTCGTCCATCGCACTGAGCTGCGTGAGCGGGTCGACCAGCGCCGACCCGAGAGGCATCACGAAGCGCTGCAGCGTGTTGCTCACGTCCCACGTGCCGAGCAGCCAATCGGGGTAGCTGACGCAGCCGGCCATCCCGACTTCGCCAGAGGCGGTCGGCAGGGTGAGGCGGGCGGACGGCGCCAGCCGTGGCGCGAGCGGCGTCGCGAGGAGATTGAGGAGCACGCTGCGGCGGGCGAGCTCCACCATGCTGCGCTGTTGTTGCAGTGCTATCTGATGGCTCGGTTGAGACAGCACGAGGCGGACGGCGCGGCTCTACCTGGCTAGGACCTGGTCGAAGTGCGACTCCTTTGGCTTGCTGGCAAACCCCGGAAAATGCGGCAAAATACCGGTAACAGCAACAGCCGTAACTTCCGGCCGCGGGTGACTAGGGAAGTTCGCTCAGGATGTGTGGCAGTCAGTTTGGCTGAGTGTCTTGTCTTGTGGTTCTGTGTGTCGCTCCTGTGTGACCGTCATCGCCCGTCTAGCGTCCACCCATACCGCGTTGGTGTCCCAGTCGTTGGTCGGACTGTGTTTCGCCTTCCCATCAATCAATCAAGGCGTCTGCAACTTCCAAGCTGCGTATTCTTCTTGTATTATCGTCGAGTAGTGCAGGTACTCCGTGGGGGCAGTATGTATTCTTGTAAGATGTGCGTATTCTCGTCTCACTGGGAGTGTAAGGTGCCTATATGGGCTTCCAGGATCGGACCTTCAAGACATGCGCTTTTGGCCGGTTGTCTACTCGGCCAGCAAGAATTCTTCACATGCTGTGCCTTTTGTGGTGCTAGTTCGTGCCAGTCTGCTGTGAGACGGGCTGGCGGTCATAGAATTCTTCACATTCCACCTTGCGACGAGTTCACGACCAGTCCGCGCCCTCAGTCCGCGACCTCGTGCGTCCTCTTCATCTGTGCCAGAGCGCAGACCACTCGGCCAACCACCGCACTCATGCCGCAGAAGCACCGTGGGGAAGAGGGCGTCAAGAGCAAGGGGCGCAAGAAGAGCGACAAGGCAACTCGTAATTTTGAGCTCCACGGGACGTACAGCGCAAAGCACCTCCGCCTGGTAGAAGCCTCGCGGGAGCGTCAAGCGGAGGCGAGGCGCACAAACACGTAAGAAGCCGCAAGGACCGCCAAGCTACGATCGCATCAAGTCACCAAGTGGCGCTCCCTGGGCTGCGACGGGCGAGCAGAGTGGCGTGGACCTGAGCTTCGCATAAGGTGCCACTCTCACCGCTGCTCACTCTCGCCGCTACACTCACCCATGTTCCTTGGTCGAGCCGTCGCCAGTTCTCCCACTCCACACCTGTCACCTCGGAGCCCTTCAGCTTCACGGGCGCACTCAAGCCGTGACCCGCGTGTAAGTCTGGGTGTGCCGCGCAGAGCGGCCCGGATACCACAAGTGGCTGTGTCTTGTACTTATGTGTTCCAGGGTTAGTAAATCGCTCGAGTGCGCCCCAGCGACGGACTCGCGCGGCCATGATGGTCGGCCGGCGCCGGTTCGGGCACACAAATATGCGAGGTGCGCACAAAAGAAGCACAAGCCACCACACACGGGCGCCCGCGCGCCGCCGATCCGCGACAGAGCCGGAGGGTCAGGGCCGTCCCATGCCCACGGCCTCTATCCGGAGCGCGCGACGGCTCACACTGGATGTGCGGGCACACAGAGGGAAGGTCCGCACCGTCTCTCTCTCGCGCGCGTCAGCTGGGTGCGGCGACGACGGGTACCGTGAGGCTCAGACCGAGCGAGTCGATGCCCGCGGTGATGACGTCGCCCGGGCCGACGGGCCCGACCCCTTCGGGCGTCCCCGTGAGCAGCAGGTCCCCCTCCTCGAGCGTGTGCACGCGCGAGACCGCCTCAACCAGCGCCGGCACGCCTGCGGTGCGTGGTGTGTGGGGGGCGCGAGTGAGGACCGACGCGGCGCAAGCCTCGGCAGGGAGGCGGCCTCTCGAGTGGCGTCCAACCGGCGGCGCGGCGTGAAGCACGCTATTGCGTCTCCCAGTCCCCTAGAGCCGCGCGCCAAAGATCATTAGACCGGTCGAGCCGCTCTGCCGCGGTGCCGCCTCGCCATTCACGCGGAGCCACATGTCGAGCGAAGAGGGGTCGGCCACTGCGGCCGCGGGAACCATCTCGCTGACGGGGCAGGACGTGTCCCAGCCCTTGGCCGCGGCCCACGGCTTGCCAGCCTTCTTCGCAGCGTCCTGCGCTCCGCGGTCAGTCATGTCGAGCGCAAGGCAGTACCCGCCGACGTGCGCCATCGCGTCGGCAGCCTTCACGCGCGTGGCGCGCCGCCCGATGACCACGCCGAGCTCGAGCTCGTGGTGCGTGTCGGTGGCGCCCGGCGCGAGCTGATGCGGCGCGCCAGAGCCGATGATGGACGAAGCCGGCTTGATGAACCAGAACGGCGCCTTTGGGACGGGGTTGTTGAGCTCGTGCGCGTGCGCGACGTAGTTGCGGCCGATGGCGTACACGACTCGCGTCCGGCTCCACCACGCCATGCGGCGAACCCGGAGCGATGAAGTCAGGCTAGGCCGGCGAGGGTCGGCCTGGCGACTGCGCCGGATTTTTCTTTCCGCGTTAGACCGGACGCGAAGAATCACTGAAAAGACAATGTCGCGGGTGAATAAATAGCGGACACGCCGAGACAACCAGACAACCAGAACAAGTTCGAAAAAGAAACGCGAAAACGCACACGACCGATGGCTGGCGTAGGAGATGGCTGGCCGATCTGCTAGCCCTGTTCTCCTCGTTTTCCTCACTTCGTGTGCCCAGAGCGCCGAGGCGGTGGACGCTCGCAGCGTGCGCGCGCGGCCACGCCTCTCGCCGCGGTGCGCGGCTCCGGCGCTCGTCGCGGGAAGTGGCGCAAAGACCGGCCCAGCCGATGGCGGGCGAGCAGCCTCGCCCGTGCAGCAGCACCGCTCGATGAGCCTCGTCGACGCGATCGCAATCATCGGCGGCTCCGCCGTCGGCGGTGGCTTCCTCGCCGTGCCCGCCGTCACGGCTCCGCTCGGGCTGCTGCCTTCGGCGTCGGCGATGGTGGCGACCTGGGTCTACCTCGTCCTCTCGGGTCTGGCGTACGTCGACGCGGCCTGCATGTCGGAGGGCATAGACACTGACGGCGCTTCGGTGCTCGCCATCTCGAGGCGGTGCTTTGGCAACGGCGTCGCGGCGCTGTTCTCGCTGCTGTTCGTCGCGCAAATGCTGGCAATCGTGTCCGCGAACCTGGTCAAGGCGGCGGAGCTCTCCGCGTCGCTCCTCCCGCGCCTCCCCTTTCCCGCAGCCGTCCTCCTCGCCGCCGCCGGCTTTGGAGCGTTCGTCTTTGGCGCAGCGCCGGCGACGGTCGCGGCGGCAAACACCCTTCTCGCAGGATGCATGCTAACGGGCTTTCTTACTCTCTTCGCCCTCGCTGCCGCCGCGCCAGCGCCGGCGGCCGCCGCTGCCGTCGCCGCGCCCTCCGTGCACTGGGCCGGCCTGCTGCCCCGCCGCGGCTGGCCGATCCCGATCTTTGTCAACACCCTGCGGTTTGGAGAGGTTCGGACGCGGCCTCCTCTTCCCCCTCTCTCCCGCTCTCTCCCCCCTACCCCCTCTTTGCCGTCGGTAGGCGATCCCGGTCGTGTTGGCGCAGCTTGGGCACGGGCGGGGACGCGAGGCGGCAGGGCGGGAGGCGCGGCCAGCGGAGCGGACCGGCGCGCGAGCACCGACGCGGCCATGACAGGCCCGTCGCGTGCGCCCCTGCAGGCGCGGCTGGCGGTGGTGCTGGGCTCGCTGCTGCCTCTCCTCCTCGCGATCGGGTGGAGCAGCGCCTCCGCCGCCCTCGCGTCGCTGGCGTCGCCCTCGCCGCCGGGCGCGGACCCCGTCCTCGCTCTGCTTGGCTCCTCGCCAACACTCGCCACGCCCGCCAGCACTAGATGCTCTCGCGACGAGATGTGCTTCTGCTGTAGCCGACCGTCACCTCTAGATGCTCTCCGCTCCTCCTCCTGTGGCCAACCGTCAACTCTAGATGCTCTTGTGCTGCCATGCGATTCCGGTCCCGGGGTTGTGCTGCTGCGTGAGTGCGCTGCGCACCGTGCCACAGCTCCGTGCCCATCTCCCCATATCTCCCCATATCTCCCCATATCTCCCCACCGTGCCACAGCTCCGCACACGTCCTCTAGGCCGGTAGCCCTCATCGCCGTCGGCGCCATTGGCAGCACGATGCTGCCCGTCCTCCTCGCGTGCGCGGGCCTGCTGGCTGACGCGTCCCGGTTCAGATCGCTCCCCATCTCTCCCCATATCTCCCCACATCTCCCCACATCTCCCCACATCTCCCCACATCTCCCCACATCTCCCCACATCTCCCCACATCTCCCCACATCTCCCCACATCTCCCCATACCTCCCCATATCTCCCCATCTCTCCCCACATCTCCCCACATCTCCCCATATCTCCCCATATCTCCCCATATCTCCCCACATCTCCCCATATCTCCCCATATCTCGCGTCCCGGTGCAGATCGCGCTCCTCCTCCTCCTCGCCGCCGCCGTCGTCATCGCCGACCTCCTCCTCGCCCCGGCTCCTCGCCGCCTCGCGCGCCGCCGTCGTCGCCGTCCCGGCAGCCTTTGCCTGCCTCGGCCCGAGCCTATACCTGCGCCTCCTCGCATTCTCGGGCGCGCCTCCCCTCACCGGTGTCTCAACTGCTGCCCGACACGCCACCGATGACTCACAAGCGATCACTCAGGCGCGTTCCCCACTGTCGTCCTATACGGCCTCCTTCCGCCTCTCGCCGCGCTGGTGCTGCGGCGCCGGCACGCATTCGCCCACGCCGCCGGCCGCGGCGTGCACTCGCCCACGGCCGCAGCCGTGGCCCGGCCGGGCTCCGCGCCTCACCCTCCGCCGGCGGGGGAAGCGAAGGGGTCGGCGCCGCGGCTGCCCAGCGCGTCGCTCGTGGGCCTGGTCGGCCTGTCGGCGCTGCTGCTCCTCGTCTCCGCCGGCGTCGCCTGTGGGGTCTGGCCGGGCTGAGCGCCGGGCGGCTCCGATGCCAAGGGACGCTTCAAATTGTGTACGATTCTTCTGTGTCCGTGCCTCCCTCCCAGTCCCGTGCCCTGTGTCGTGCGAGGGAGTCATGAAGAGTTTGGTGTCAGATGTGGATTGTGGTGAATCGGGTGTGAATTCTGGCATATTTTTTGAGCACTTTCATGGAGCAAAACTCTTCTCGGAGTGCGGTCTGAGCCGTGACAGCCCCTAGTCTGACAGCCTCTAAACCCGGACAGCGCGGCCTGACAGTGCCCGACCGAGCCTGACACGTGACAGCGTTGACAGCACTTTCTCTGCGACAGCCTGACAGCACGTATCTCCGACCAGCCCTGTTCACGCGCGCGCAAGACGTGCAGACAGGGTTGCCAGGTGAGAGCGAATGGCGCGGTTCACGCCTCGCACAACAGAGAGAGAGATGCGCTCTCGTCTGCCCATGGTGGGACATAAAAGAGAGCGAGTACTTGGGTGAGTAGGCCGTGCGGTCGACGCTCCACGCTGCCGCGCGCGACTTTGCGCGCGAGGCGGCGCAGCTTGAGAACGGCGGTGGGCGAGAAGCCGCCGCCGAACGTCTCGTGGAGCAGCACCAGCAGGTTGAAGTTGTTGCGCTTGACAAAGATCGCGTCGTGGCAGGTCGTGGTAGAAATCGCGATGCGCCTTAAATAAATAAATAAAAACGGTCAAACTCTGAGACGAGATGGGATTTAGGGACATGTGTCCCCGCCCTGCACGATCTTGGTGTGAGGGATCTTCAATCCGTCCCCTTGACGTAGCCGTGGCCGTTCTTTTTTGGTTACAAGTAAGTAGCGTTGTGAACAGAACGCCCACCATGAACCACGTTTATCGGGAAGGGGGAGGTCTGTGACCTGCCTATTCGCCCGGCATGCGAGGGCATGCGCGGCCTTTCGGAGCCCCCTTCCTCTGTCGGCTTAGTACGGTTGGTCAGCGCGTCTCCGTCAGGCTGGGCGTCCTATTTGTGCTCCCTCCCTCGCTCTCTGGCACTATCTATTCATCTGTGCCCAGTGTTGTGCGAGGGAGTTTTCTTGTACAATTCCTTTTGAGCAGGGTTGCTCGGGTCGGGGTGGGGCGGGGTTGTGGGGTGGGGATGTCGGGGGGGGTGGTGGGGTGGGCGCCGGAGTGGGAGTGGTGTGACTGCTTTTGTGGTGGGTGATGGGGCTCTAGGCTCAAGAAAAAGAATTCTTAAGATACAAGCCTCTCTCACAGCACACTGGCACGACAAGGGCGCGGACTGGCGCGGACTGGCACACACACCGGTAGGTAGGTAGGTAGGTAGAAAGGTGAAGAACAGCCAGGCTCGGACTGGACACCAACGCGTATGGGTGACACCGGCTCACAAGAAAAAGAAAGAGCATGCACGAACTTTCCTGGCCCTGCTTCGCTCGCTCCGTCCAGGCAGCGCCACCTCCTTTCAGAGCTTCAGCAGTCCACGTCGTTCTCGCCCTATGATGCGCACCGACGAGCCTTCCGGCCTCAGCCAGCCCCTGCGGCCTCAACGCGACCGCTCCGCGTACCGCAACTTTCTCAAGATGGCCGTGCTCTTCTCCATCAACCACGGAACCGTCGCGGCCGTGCTCAACATCAGCGTGCAGCTTCTCGGCGACGCGGGCTCGTACCAGTCTGGCGCGCTCTACATCACGTACGCGCTGACGGCGCTCATGTTCTCCTCCGCGCTCAACGAGGCGCTCGGCCCGCGCTGGTCGCTCGTCGTCGCGGCGGGGCTGTACTCGCTCTACGTGCTCTCGCTTCCGCTCGCGCTGATGCTGCCGCCCGAGGCGCGCGGCGCGCGCGTCGCGCTCGCGCTGTGCGGCGGGACGGTAGGGGGCTTCGCGGCCGGCTTCCTCTGGGCGGCGCAGGGCACCTACTTTGCTCTCTCTGCGCGGAGGCACGCGTTGCAGATGGACATCGAGCCTGCGGAGGCAAATGCAGAGCTGGCGTCCGCGTTCGCGTCGACGTTCCTCTCGCTCGAGCTGTGCCTCAAGGCGCTGCCGATCGGGCTGCTGCCGCTCTCGCACAAGATGGTGCACGTCCTCGGCCACGACGTCTCCTCCTCCAACCTCCTCATCGGCGCCCTCTACTCGCTGCTCGCCCTATCCGCCGCCGCAGGCGCCAAGCCACTTCCGAGACAGACGCCTCCAAGACGCCTCCACGACGCCCCCAAGACGCCCCCAAGACGCCTCCCGGACACCTCCGAGGCACCCTCCCCCTCCTCCCTCCGCGGCAGGACTCACCCGCGTCAGCGACCTCTCCGATGCCGCGAAGCCGGAGGATGCAGAGGCGCCGCGCGATACGGCAGCGGCGGCCGCCGCCGCCGCCGCTGACGACGCCGCCGCCGCCGCGAACCGCACCACCACCGTCGCCGTCCCGTCGCGCTTCTTCTCGCGCATCGGTGCCGTGTGCGGGCTGTTGTCCCATACCTCCAGAGTCTCGAATCCTAGTGAGGGTTCGGTCCCGTGGGCGGTGTGGTAGGCGCCGTGTGCGAGTTGTGGGCGCGCAGGCCTGTCGTGCTGCTGCTCGCTCCGACGCAGGCGGCCGGACCCCGCCACTTCCCCCCGGCCCGCCACTTCCCTCGGCCCGGCGCCACTTCCCTCTCCCCTCCCCTGGCACGCCCTTCCTTGGCGCGCCACGCACCGCCGCGCCGCCGTGTCCCCCGCTCTCACGCCCTCTCTCACACCCGCTGAGACACTCCCGCCCTCCTCCTCCCTCCTCCCTCGCTGCACAGGCCGCCTTTGGCGTCTCCGCTGCGCTCCTCGGCTACGAGGTGACGGGCAAGCTCGTCAAGCAGGCTCGAGATATGGGGAGATGTGGGGAGATGTGGGGAGATATGGGGAGGTGACGGGTAAGCTCGTCAAGCAGGCCTTCGCCTCACCCTAGCCTACCCCTAACCCTAAACCCCCCCAGCCTGTCCTCACGCCATGAGGCTCGTCTACTAGGCCTTTGCCTACCCCAAGCCCCAGCCCCGACCCCAAGCCCCAATCGTTCCTCACACGCTGACGCGCGTCCGCCAGGCCTTTGGCGCCGACGCTGTCCTCGCCGGCTCGCTCTGCTCCGCCCTCGTCTCCGCCGTCGCCGCGCTGCTGCAGGTGTGCAGCGCCGCCGGGCCTCCCTCGACCCAGGGCCTCTGCCTGCCTCCTCTCTCCTCGGCTGCCGCCTCTACCACCGCCCGCCTCTTTCTCCAGGGCGTGCCTCCCCCCCCCCCCCCCATCATAAAATTAAATGGGTAATTTGG